GTTTATTAGTGTTTTACTTTCTATTCGATACGTGATGTTAGATTTTCCTTTCGTAGTGATTAGTTGTTTATTTCGATTAGGTTGGGATGGTTTCGGTTTATAGTTAGGCGAATGTCGCATTATGATAGGTTACAATAATTATAATAATCAGGGTTATAACAAGCTCTTCACTCAGGTGAGTACTAGTTATTTACTATGTCTGTTTACACCCTTTTGTTTACTACGCTTTACTATGTCAAAACACGTTGCAGTATTTTAATCATCTAAAATTTCATGGTTTTCCTATAATAAGACATAAGTGTCTCTTCAATTATCCATTGTTAATTTAGAATACACGTTTTTCCACATTATACTCAATTATTTTAAAATTGTATTTGTAGCTAAATTAATACAAATAGAAGCGTAGAAGAACTACGCATGTATGGAAACTATGTAAATTATTATTTGAATGGAAGAGAGTTTGCATTTTTCCACAGTTACAACTTAAAACTAAATATTTTCCATACATGGGCATCTTAAAGTTGCTTTTGGGACACCCTGTATAGTATTATATTCTTATTTAATTCGAATTAGTTCAAAGAAGGACATTTGAAGGAGGCGTGAATATTGTTCCTTGAATGAAATATGCCAGTTTAATTTAATTTTTAATTAAATTGTTCACGTGCATTGAGAACATTTCGTACTGAATTACATGCAGAACAAGATAAAAACAAACGGATGACATTAAATTAAGTGGTTATCCAATTTGAGCTTGAGTGAGTTGTAGATTCTTCAATAACATACAATATTTACATTTTTCATTTAATCGTAAATAAGTTTGGTATGTTCGAAACATTTTAAGAGATTAATCAATTATTTTCAATTTAATATTTTCCACGTTTCTGGTAAATAATGAAAATAATTTTAAGTTGTTATGCCCTTTTAAACTACAAGAAACCAAAAATAAAGCTAATAAAAAAGTCGATGACATCATTATTCCTGTGTGGATACATTCCTCCTGAATGATACACGTTTTTCAGGGAATGGAACAAATTAAAATTAGAATTACCTCTTTTATTGCCTACTCTTATTTATTTTTTCGTTCAGAAAAGAATTCCTAACTCATTCGTTTTGTGTAACAGAGAATAAGTGCTGTCAGATGCAATTTTACACAGTATGTACCTAGAAAAATTTAAAAGTACATTTAAGTTCCACACATTTCCAGAATTTTCCTTCTACAGCTATAAATACGTCCATCAAAGACTCGTTTTATTAACTCCCTCTCACTCCACCGGCAGTAAAATTTCCAATAATATCCAGGTTATTATTTTCATTTTATTTCACACATCTCCAACTCCGCACACACTCTCTCTCTCTACCCTATCTTTTTGTAAATTTAATCAGGTACGAGCTCCCGCTCTCGCACAAATCCCGACCCGATTCCATGCGAGTACATACCCAATCCACGAGGCTTTCTTTGTCAATTGAAACGTGCAAAAGATTTTTATTTCTAATCCAATAACTCGGCATCGAATAGTTGCAGCGCGTCTATAAAATATGGCTATTTATAAACGATTAATACTGCATAGAAGTACACTCGTTGCATCGAAAATCGAATGAAATTGAAGGGAAAGCGATTCAAATATTTATAAGGTACATCCCTTGCGAAAGTTATGTATAGGTTAACCGGAGGAATGAATAAGTTAGGAGTTCGATAAAAAATAAATCGAATTTAAACGTGTACTTACTTGTGGAAGAATAATCGATTAATTACTTACCATTTTTTATTCATTATTTCAAAAGTTTATTTTGGTATTATTTGTGCTGTAAAATTGATAGATACTTGATAACTACGGAAAGCTTCCAAATAAAACATGTGTTGTCGTTTTCAACGGTATTCAAATTTTCAAGAAAATTATAGTTTGGAACTCCAATTGTGTGTTAAAATAAACTTTACTTCTACTAAAATAAAACGCAAAATTCCTAATATTTATTAATTTTTCTTGAATCACCTTCAAAATATGCTTTATTGGAAACGATATACATAGTCAGACGTCTTTTCCAATCATCGAAACATTTTTATAGTTTATTTAATATCATGTGCAGGTAATTTAAATAAGAATTTAAACGTTAAAGCTGCTGTTAACAGTCAGTTTATAACTGGTCCTTGAGTCAGTAATCCCGAATATTTCAATTTAACCGGATCATTTCGCTTAAACATAGAAATTGTCCGGTTAAAGTGTACAGATAATCGTCAAATAGTTCGCGTTGCAACGTACATACTGCATTGTAATTGCATAGCGGGGTATAATGGTAGCGAAAACAATAGCGAACGAGCGCCGACGGCCCCTTTTAGCCGGATCGACTGCATTCAATGAAAATTGTTGCGAGAACAAATTAGTTCGCAAATGGGCCGGCTCGCTCGCGGAAAGTTTTTTTTTTCATTACACTAAACATTTCTTCGGACTGTTCGCCGAAAGTTTTGGCGAAACGTGGAAGTCGTTAGGGAAAAATACAGTCGAGAATCTCGTAGTTTTGGCCGCTGTAATTATGATTGTATGTGCGGAAAAAGTTATTAATTTCTTCCGGGATTATAAATTTCGTGTATCGCTATTTGAGGACGATGTGGAACGAATTTTGTTGGATTTTGTAATGGATGAGAATTTGTTTTTATGAGAAGTTACTTTTATGTTAATTTTGAGCGAGAAACTTGAAAGTAATAACAATAACATTTTTGGATAGAGAATGAAGAGACCTTTCAAACGAAACATCACAAGCCTATAATTCCCATTTAAAAAATTAGGGGTTGTAACTATCGCTCGAAGGGGTTTGAAAGTAAGGATCACATTTTTTCGTTGAAGAATGTCAATTTATTATTAAAATTCAACGAGTTTCGGGTTTTTCTTGAATATATTTTACAGTCCACACTGTATGTTTGTTAGGTTTATACAAGTATTATTTTTAGTTTCGGCAAATTGTGTACTTAGATTTCAAAATATTTTCAGGTTTACCTCATCATTTCACGAGTAGGTACAGCAAGATCTATAACTTTGCGTTTATGATTCTCGTAAATATTTCAATGCAAAAATGAAATTTCGAAAATACATGTAACAAAATAATAAGTAAATAGGCGCGTAAAAATCCTAAAAATACCCATTACACTTTTCCCATACTTGTTACATTTCAACGGTGGTTAAAAGTTGTTAAAAATTACGTTAAGGAAAATAATGGGAGCGTTGAAATGTTTTAATTAAAAAAGTTCAAGAGTCCCAAGATTTAAATCTAGCTCTCGTCGATCCGCAAAATAAGATTTTACTATTGATTTATAACTTTTCGTCGAGAAAAGTTCGTTTTGGAACCCGGAAGGTAAGAAGTTGAAGTATTGTTTAAAAAAATGGTGGAAAATATCCCCGATCGAAATTCAATTTCAATCAAAAAAATATATACATCTTCACATTTACGTTAAAATTTTAAATGCAAGTTTAATAGCATGTAAATTAATGTAACTTCACTACTGCAAATTTACAGATTCATACGAAACTGCAAGTAAATATTTGCTTATAAATTTATGCAAAATTAAATTTTATGCAAACTTTAGCAATCATATTTTATGAGTTCACTTTATGATCGTACCGAATACGAGAAGCGCAATTTTGAATAATTTTATGGAGTTCGTTTGAAACCGCAAACAAGAGCAGAAACTTCAATTAGGTCACTTTTTGTTCAATTAGGTCACTTTACTACGATTTGGTGCACTAAAATGCACGAACATTCATGCTAATTGTTACTAAATGACTTTCAACTGCATTTCGATCGTTTATTTATAAATTCTACTTTGATATCCGTCCATTGTTCGTTAAAATTCGATTTTATCTGCGGTAATTCCATTCGGGAAACGGCTCTTTTTTCGATATCGTTAATCATCCGGAATTTATGAAAATCATTTAATGTCGAGTAAATAATGATTTCGGGTCGTAGGTAATATCTATTTGTGTGTGCAGATTGTCATTATCGAAATGTAAATCGATAAGCCTATCGGATCGCGATAATAGGTGTATCAAAAGATTATTTGACCGTGAAGAACAGAGAATTACGTAACGAGCGTTGAATACAAATATAAATCAACGGCATGACCCTAATTTTTCTATCGAAATGCAGGCTAATTTTTTCACTGCAAGCTGTATTTTTTACAAAAAAATGCTACAGGAATGGGTTATAGTTATTGGTGATATTGAAAGTCACATTAGAGAAGGTACAAGAACTAAAAATAGAACTTTTAATGTAATTGAAATGAAATTGAAAATTAATTCAATAACAGATATCTTGGAGATATTAATAACTTTAATTTGTCAGTTACATTAACGAATTTAACGCAACTTGTCGTTTAGGTAAACAAGTTGATTTGTAAATTAAATGCCCAATATCATTCAACTGACTGATTGTGAATCCCACACAGATATTTTATGAAAAATGTTGAATTCGTTAAAAATAAAATTCGTAGAAAACAGTAAGTTTATTCATGATCTTTCTATGGAATTTCCACAAATCTCTCGACAACTAGTTGCATTGAAACTAGTTGCATGAAAAAATTGCATTTCGAAAACTTGTGCGAAAACAGCTTAAGCTGTTAAATAGCTTAAGAATCGTAGATTATTGTGCAATACAATTTTTTTCTATAGCTTTAAAGGATGTTTTAAATGACCAAATGAAACTTTGCTAGTCACCCCTAGTATATATAATGCATAAAATCATCCATTTCAATAATTCTTCACCTATCCAATCCAAATAAAAAAAAATAAATAGCAAAATCCTTACTGGTTAGTTAAATATTTAATGATACCCAACACTTCCTGTTCCCCAATTTCCTCCAAATTATTGTATCGTGGAAATGTATTGTATATTTAGAAACGTATTTATATCTCAATAAAACTTAACCCGTTTACGAATTATACCAATTTTATGCAATGAAAATCGCTTTTACACGAGCATCGTTTCCTAACGAATGTTTATCTTCTTTCCAGGGCTCTGCTGATTCGAATTACTCCCAGCCTTCATCGGATCTATCACTTGACGAGGAGAAAGAGACGCTGCGTAGGGAAAAAGAGCGGCAAGCACTTAGTCAACTCGAAAAAGCAAGAGTAAGAGCATTTTCACTCTGTGAAATATATTGCAGCAATAAATTGTTGCAATATTGCATTGCAGTTAAAATACAAATGTTCAAATACGTAGTTTTCGCACGTATGCGATGCAATGATTGTTGTTGCAACGATGTTTAATATTGCAAAGTCGTGCAATATGTTCTGCACGATAGTAGAAACCTAAGTTTATGCAGGTTTTCACACAATTCGGCATATATTGCTCTAATTTAGTTAATATTATTCAAACAGTGTTGCCATACGAAAGATTAGGTGGTGGATTCTTATGAAATTCGCTAAAATATTTACCACAAAATGTATAGTGGATGGACTCATACTAAAGCAATTAAAAATTTTCTAATCATCATAGTGCAATTTATTCAAAAGCGAATAAAAGGCACCGTCCACATATCTTAGCTGCAATATAAGTTGCACCCAATATTTCCTATTTTGCTTATAGTTTTTGTCAGGTGTTTCCATTACGTTCGACTACTTACTAACTAGAAATTTGGCATCAGCGAATATTTATTGTACAATATATTGCAGTAGTGCGAAAATTTTCAACAATTTAACGCGTGCAATATTTTTTTATCGCATACAATATATTGCACCGTGTGAAAGAAAACGCTCTATTCAGTTACCTAATCCGATTGATAACGTAAAAATGTATGTATTTGTTTTACCTACATGTGTAATTTTTGGGTGGTTTTTGTTCAGACGAAACCGGTAGCGTTTGCCGTCAGAACCAACGTCGCCTACGATGGCTCCGTCGACGACGATTCTCCAGTCCATGGATACGCGATTTCTTTTGAAATTAGGGATTTTTTACATATTAAGGTACGTATATTGCAATTGTAAAGGTTTTTTTTAACGATTTTAGAAGGGTTTTCCTCAATTTCGGATGCTTTATTAACCGTTCTTTGAACGAACAAATCAAAAATACTTTTAAAAATTACTTTTTCATAAGGTCGCGAAGAAAAGTTCGCCCTTATGAACCTCCCTACTATCCCTACTCTCCGCGCTCTCCTCTCTGCACTCTTCACTCCACACTCTACTCTATACTCTTTACTCTCTACTCATTACTCTCTGTACTCTACTCTCTGTACTCTACTCTCTACACTCTGCACTCTCTACACTCTGCACTCTCTACACTCTGCACTCTCTACACTCTGCACTCTCTACACTCTGCACTCTCTACACTCTGCACTCTCTACACTCTGCACTCTCTACACTCTGCACTCTCTACACTCTGCACTCTCTACACTCTGCACTCTCTACACTCTGCACTCTCTACACTCTGCACTCTCTACACTCTGCACTCTCTACACTCTGCACTCTCTACACTCTGCACTCTCTACACTCTGCACTCTCTACACTCTGCACTCTCTACACTCTGCACTCTCTACACTCTGCACTCTCTACACTCTGCACTCTCTCTACTCTCTAAAACCCTCCAAATTTTACATTCACCACAAACTTCCAATTTTCCTGTAACATTCTCCTGTAAATATTTCCACATTAACCTCTTGTCAATCGCATTTTCTCCGCCAATGGAGTGCGCTATTTCGTGTGGACCGCATTCGAGATCGAACGGACCGATAATCCTGCAATCAATCTGATTATTAACCTTTTGCTTTACTGCAGTGACATTTTTTTTGTTTACCTCACGTGCACCATTTTCCCGACAATAATGACATATCAGATTTTCGTTTTGCGTATATGAATAACGAGGGGGTATCTCGGCACACGGGGGGTAATGGCGTCGGTTTTATTGATTTCGGATTGAAATTGAGAGTTGTAAAACTCGAAGCAAAGCACAAGCGCGATTTCGAATTATTTATAACGGGAAATTCAAAGGCGAAAGGAAAGCCTATAATGACGATTGTTATTTTTGTGCAAATACTTTTTTGGTTATTACGAGTAACGTAAATTTCATATTTATTAATACTGAGAAATACGTATTCACGTTGTTGATTTTGAGATTACACTAGTTTACAAATTTTATATTTTTTTAGTGGATGACAGAAAATAAACTTTTTTTAATATATTTCGGCGCGCTTATTTCAAGTATGCCGTCGATTAAAATTCAATATATCCAGTTTCTTTAAGTTTTGGACATGATGTACGTTCTAAATGGTTCTAGTCACTTCTAAATGATTTTGGGCAGTTCGAAATGGTCCTAGATAGTTCTAAAGGTTTCTGGAGTATTCCAGATGACAGTTCTAAATAGTATTCTAGACAGTTCTAAGTAACTACGGAGCATTCTAAATGATTCTGAAGCGTTCTAATTGGTTCTAGATAGTTATAAATGCTTCTGGAGCTTTCTAAATGGTTCTAGACAGTTCTAAATGGTGTGCTAGAATCGAGGAGATTATTGTTGGACATTAATACAAAAAATCGACCCAATATCATCTAAAAAACACAAATTTACTGCTCAGCATGTCTAATTTGAAGTTTCTTTTCATGCATTGCATAGATCTGGAATTCCAATAAAACAAATGATTTTATTAGTAAATTTCGTTTATGTAACATGATATATTCTTTTACTACAAATTTTTGTTTCCAAAAATACATTACTCCATTATCCCAATTTTTTGCTCACTGTTGTTATCTATGTATAACATTATCTGGAGAAAATTTAGCACTTTTGATATAAAATTCTGCTAATTAAATCTGCTAATTAAATCTGCTATTAAAACACCCTTTACATTAATTCAGTCAATGGGAAACTGTAAGTAACTGAATGATTTTTATAATGTACCTATTGTTTTCAGGAAAAATACGACAACAACTGGTGGATCGGGCGGCTGGTCAAAGAAGGTTGCGACATCGGTTTCATTCCATCGCCGGTCAAGCTGGAGAACCTGCGGTTGCAGCAGGTGCAGACGAGAACGACGAAGCTGTACTCGAGCAAGACGAGCTCGAGTTCGAACATCGGCGCTTCCGCCGGTAACGATGTTTCCAGAGGTAGCACTCCTCCCACGCCCGGTATGTCTTGTCCTATCCGAAAAATCACTGTTCGCGAATTTTTGTTTTACCGATCGGCCGATTATTTATTATTGGTGTTGTCGTGTGATTACGTTGTTTTTTTTTTTGTTTTTTTTCTGATTGGATTGGTGTCAACTTCGTGCTGAATTTTGGGAATTTTTGAAATAAGCTGCACTTTAATCACTCTCAATCAGTGCTATTTTTGAGATGCAGGTATTAAAAGGTGAATCCTTTTGAACTATTTTTTTATAAATGCAGTAAAATTTACTACATAACTCCCTCATATCCTAATTTACCTTCGCTTCATTTTTAAATAATTGCATTTATTTATTATTTGAGAACCACTTAAGAATATTCAAGATTCAACAAAAAATAATCCTCTATACATATAGATTTATTTTAAATTAACGTGTATAAGTTGCATTTAATTTTATCATTTTATTTTATTTATATTAAATAAAAATCTTCATCGGCTGTACATCTTCTACTCAAGTAAAAAAATCATTTATAATTACCAGAATTTTGCGTTGATTGTCAGATATCACCGAAAACATTAAGCTTATTTCAAAAATAACAAACTGGTGTAACCGAATTAACTTTGCTTAACCTGCATTTTTGAGAATTAATCGATAAAAACGTAAGTGAAGTACTGTAGTACCATAACATGTAGACCTATAGAAGACGACTGTACCTGCAAGCTCGGTATATGCTCCAATTTACCTGGACGTCTTTACTTTTTATCAAGTATACATTTTTTATCGTGTTTATTTATGCATTTTATTTGATGAAACTACGTAAGTTTATTTTCCGAACTAAATTTTGAATTTACAAAAAATTTTCGTACGAATTTTTTTAGTGATTCCTCTTCTTCCAAACGCACCATCCACCTTAGTTATTAGATTACCGTAGAATAGTGTGTATTAGTGGAATTTTAGAATAATAGTAGATGCTATCCTATCAAATTATTATTACGTAAATATTTTAGATCCCAGTTTTAATAACTAATATAGTGAACTGTTGGTAAATTTGGTATTTGTCCTCTAAAAATCTAACTGCTTGTTTTCTTGCATTTAACCGTGGTGAAAATGATTAGTTACACACTCGTTTGTCTAAAAATAGTGAAGTTTCTTCTTTTATTTTTGTTTGTAGTTTACTAAAAAAAGTTGAAAAGTGGATTGGTGATTATTCGAAATTTGCACATAAAAATTTCAAATTCTGCACGATTTCTCTGGGCTAGAAAATCGATTAAGTACGCTTCTGAGATGGTTAATTGGGGTTAAGTGTATCTTAGCAGCTTAAAAATTGCTTGTATTTATTATTTTTTAAAATAACAATAATTTTACTTTAGAGCAGATCCATAACTATGGTGTATTTAGGGACTATAGAGACCAGAAAGCTCATACAGAAATCCATACAATAACTGTAAAAATATGATTGGCTGGATGCGTGATCCGTCAAAATAGACCAAGATAAAATAGCGCAAAGACAAAATAGCCCAAAAACAAAATAGCTCAAAAACAAAATAGCCCAAAGCAAAATAGCCCAATTCAAAGACAAAATAGTCCAAAGACAAAGTAGCTCAAACACAAAAAACCCTGAAATAAAACCGTTCGGGTAAAATTTAAAGCGAGCATTAATTTATTAGATTTCCAGAATTTCTAAGAGAATTTTTCATTCTGTTTTATTTTATGGTAAACTATAATTTCACTTTATTTGATGTAATAATAAACTTCTAGTTGTATTATTAATAGAAATATCATATATTATATATACGAACATTTTTCCAGAGTATAATGAAAAAAATTAAATAACTCCCATATGTTAGTATCTATCGGTCTGTAGATGGTTTTGTATACTGTCATCATTGCCTTTTTTGATATTTATTATTTCATTTTATTTAATTCAAAAATTTCGTGGTAATTTACAAATTCATGATTTGTAAATTATTCTTATGTGATATGATTTTTCTCGTAATCTATTTCGTTTTTGGGCTATATTGTCTTGGATTTTTGACGGGGTACCGCTGGATATTATACACTTTTAATTTATACGACATATTATTTATGTCAATTAATCAACCTTCATTTACCTGTTTTTTATATTTCTTTTTTATCCTTAAATTCTATATAATAATAGTCATTTGTAAGAACATTTTGTTCAACACCATTTCGCTGGGTTTGCTTTAAAGTATCTCCTCACTAGCGACAGAGACCACATTCTTTAAGTACTTGATAGGTAAATTCTGCCATTAATTTCTTTGAATTCCACAAAATCTGTTCCTACAGTTCAGTAAAAACCAATATAACCTCAGCCCTGGAACTCGATGTAGGAGCTGACCTAAATAAGGAAACTTATGACACGTAGCAGCTACTAACTCGAACAGATTTTAATGGAAAGCAGTGTTCTAATGGAACCGTTACTTTCAGGCGATGAATCCGATTCGATGGGCAACGCCAGAACGAGCAAATCGCTCACCACACCTCCGGCGAAGGAAAAAAAGAAACCGTTCTTCAAGAAACAAGAGGCGGCCGCCCCTTACGATGTAGTTCCTTCCATGCGACCCGTAGTTTTAGTAGGTCCTTCTCTCAAAGGATACGAGGTCACGGACATGATGCAGAAAGCCTTATTTGATTTTTTAAAGCATAGGTTTGAAGGAAGGTGAGGATTCGTAGCTTCTTCTTTTTCTTCTTCTTCAACATCTTCTCGATTCTCGTCGAAGTGGTAATGAAACCGTTCTCTGTGTCTGTGTTGCAGAATAATTATAACTAGGGTAATGGCGGATATTTCGCTGGCGAAGCGCTCCCTCCTGAACAACCCTTCGAAAAGGGCGATAATGGAAAGGTCGACCACTCGATCGACGTGTCTGTCGGAAGTTCAGGCGGAAATCGAGCGGATATTCGAGCTGGCGACGACGTTACAACTAGTGGTGCTGGATTGTGATACTATAAACCATCCTTCGCAACTTGCCAAAACTTCTTTAGCTCCTTGTATTGTCTATCTAAAAATTAGTAGTCCTAAGGTAAATGCCATTTTTTGAACCTTATCAATTCACTTAATTTTAAATTGGTTTAGGGCCGATTTTAACAAAAGGAAGGGGTGAAGATAAAATGTCCTTTAAGCTTGTTTAATTTCTTAGCTTAATTTTCAATATTAAGTAAAGAGACGAATGTTTTATCGTTATTTAAAAGTATCGACTTAGCTGTATAACAGAGGTGTTTTGTGCAGGTTTTGCAGAGGCTTATAAAATCGAGAGGAAAAAGTCAAGCTAGGCATTTAAATGTTCAAATGGTTGCTTCAGAAAAGTTAGCTCAATGTCCGCCTGAGATGTTCGACGTCATTTTAGACGAGAACCAGCTGGAAGACGCTTGTGAACACATAGCTGAATATTTGGAAGTAAGGAATATATTTCACACTTTGCGATTCTAATTGGTATATAAACGGGTTTAAACGATGCAATGTGAATTATTTTTAGGCTTATTGGAGAGCCACTCATCCCGAAATAAGCGTTCCAAACGTTCCTCGACCAATGGGAAGTTCGCCTCAGGCTTCTCCTAGTGGGGACCAAGGAAGACCCACGTTACCAGGTAATTCTCCGTTTTTTTATATATTGTTTAACGATTTAATCCCTAATTATTACTAATCCATTAGTTGTTGAATGGTAGTTGAATATAAACTAGTAAATAAGAGTTACCTGCAAGAAAACAGTGAATAATTAACAGTATCTCTTGTAGTTCCTTTGTATTTTTCTTAGCATCTTCAAATAATTAATTTCTTTTTGAGTGTTTCTTTTAGATATTCTTTAATAAGTCATTTTTGGAGGTTCCTTTGTAGTTATTTTAGAATCTTCAACCACGAATTTAATTCCTTCTTTGTGTTTCTTTTAGATATTCCATAAAAAGTAATTCTGATGGTTCCTTTGTAATTTCTTTAGAATGTTCAAATGATCAATATAATTTCTTTCGAGTGTTTCTTTTAGATATTCCTTACAAAGTCATTTTTGGTGGTTCCTCTGTAATTTCTTTAGATTCTTCATATGATGAATATAATTTCTTTTAAGTATTTCTTTTAGATATTCCTTAATAAGTCATTATTGGTGGTTCCTTCGTAATTTCTTTCGAGTGTTTCTTTCAAATATTCCATAAATAGTCAATTTTGGTGGTTTCTTTGGAATTTCTTTAGAATCTTCAACCGATTAATTGAATTTCTTTTTAAATGTTTTTTCTCAGACATTCCAAAAAAAGTCATTTTTGGTGGTTCCTTTGGAATTTCTTTAGAATCTTTAACCGATCAATTTAATTTCTTTTGAATGTTTCATTTAGATATTCCTTGAACAGTCATTCTTTAAGATCATAGGAAAAATAGAGTATAGCTAGCATAATTTTAAGAAGTTTCTAACAGGTTCACTGTCCTTTTACTATGTAGCAAAATTAACAAACTAACAACTTTAACATACTAACATTTCTTTTCCAGCACACCACGATGTATACGGATACGGCCATCACGAGTCTCGAGGTAGTCATGCAGCTGTTAGATACATAGGATTGCAAAGTTGGGATTCAGTAGACTCTTTAGAATCACTTTCGTTTTTATAGAAATAAATCACTGCATGATTGTCTTGCGATTGTTTATACAGAATGTCCTTGTAACGAGAAGAAGTGAAATATTCCATATTTCGCGTTGTCTTTTGATTAATAGGAGAATTTCCTCCCAGACATTCTGTATATATTTTATATGCATCTCTACGTTAAATTTTATTATTTGCTTCAGTAAACTCTTATGCATTTACGAATTTTATTTATTAGGGGGAGTTGTATCGAGTTGGTTAAAACCTAGGTTGGAGTTCAACTTGGATAAAATCGAAATTTAGAAAACTTTGGTTATGATTTAGGTTCAATTTTAATCCGGGTTTAAACAAACTTGATATAACCTGCCTTTAGTTTTAAGCTACTATGATATTGTTTAGTAGTGACAAGTATTTTCACGAAAAATTAAATTTAAAGTTTCAAGGATTTTGTCTATTTATATTCATTTTATATGTCTAACCGGTGTATTTATATTAAGAAGTGGAAATTATGATTGAAGGAATCTCTATTTCCGTATGCCCGTTTGTGTTGAAATAATTTAATAATCGATATTTATTAGGTGCAAATTGTAACATTAAATAAGTTTTATCACATAGGTAATTTTTCGTGAATTTATAGAAAAAAATTATAAATAGCTTAAAAGTAAGTTTAGTAGAAATGAAAGCAAGAGTTTTCTAGTATAATAGCAATTTGCTAGCTTTGTACTAGATTTTGTTATGAAACAGATTGGATTTATTGTAGGCATTTTTATTAAGCCGAACAGTATTTTAACTTTAATATATTAAACCTAAAGGAAACGTTTGCCTACCTGTATCCAAAAAAGTTCTAATACGACACACCAAGGTGTACTATTGTTTGAGAAATCCCAATCTGGATACCTACTAAAACAAAGTTTCCCAAACAAATAAATGTGATATGAAAATAAAATTTACCAAAATAAGTTTTCTTTTGTTTTTCGTGATGTTTCAGATTTTTCTGGTTCAATGACACCAATTCTTCCCAATCAATGATAATTCGGATAAATGCCCCTTACGTTTAAGGTTTATTTAGTTTTTCTGTTGAATGAAATTGCAGTTTTACAGAGAGGTATTGCCTTCGCGCTGCGAATTTAAGAAATTAACAAAGAGCAAGTGTTCTGTTTTTGCAATTAAAAGTGTTGCTGGATAAATCATTATTTAGATAATATTGAATATTTGATTAGTAATTTAGATTTTTGCATTTTTATAACTTATTTATAGTTCATTCGTAAACCTCGTTGATGTAACAGGAATTCACAGGATACATTAACAGGACAATAATTAACGGGAATTCAATATTAGAAGCTTAGAGACAAAGTTAAAGGGGTTCTTGACGACTTATTTTAATCATAAATATCAAATTTATTTACCTCTTTTTTCGTTTTTTGTTGTTAGGTTTCTAATACTACAGGGTGTTATTTAATTTATTTAATTTTTGGGCCCCATTTAAAAAAAAATCTTCATATGAACCTAGGTCCTAAACATCTTAACTTTTGAGATATAGGGTGTTAAACTTTTAAGAAAAAAATCAATTTTTACTGTCATTTCCATACCACTTTAAATAATTTTATGAAATTTGGTCTACGGCGTTTATGCATTAGAGAGCATTTTATGACCTAAAATACATTGACCTGTATAAGAAATTGCGAATGACCTGTAAATTTTTTGAGCAAAATTAAGATATAGTAACAAACCGGTAAAAAGTTCATATGATTGTTGAAATAAACGAAATAATGGCTGTATTACTAATTGTACTTCTTTTTCTTTTTTTGGTTTCGCTTGGCACACACGCAACGCTTATCGCTAAATTGGCACAAAAAATCGCAATTTAAATAAAATTTCTTTATCTATATAATCGTGTAGAAGCGCCCGGTAAAATTTGGCGAGCTGGTTCGACGGACCTTTTTGCTTGAGCTTAGGCTGGAGTTTGTAAGTTTTTCTGCTTTTGGGTGATCGTTTTTTTTGGATTGAGATTTTCATCATCACCATTGGAAAGTATCATGCACCTATTGCTAAAGCAGCGCAGAGGGACCTTGTTTAGAGATTGTTAGTGCTCAAATAGATTTTAGGTAAAAGTATCGGAGAATCGCTTTTTATCAGTATTTTTGAGCGAACTTCACATGTGAACTGTATGAAATCGAACTAACTGTGAAGCCTAGTTTCTTATCATCCGCTATACAGTGCATACATTTACTTTACACAGTAGATTTTAGTTTGTGTAATACTTTTTTGTGTAGGCATAGCTGGTGATGGGAAATTTAGCTTCCCTTTTTTACTGGTATTTCATACATGAAAATAATGTGTGCCTTAAGTGGGTGATAAAAACTAGATTTAACAGTAAGTAAACACCTAACTCGTATCATCCCAGAAACTTCACCACTCAGAAACATGTTGAATAAGTACCTAAACATGCGATTTTATTTTGGTGTTTAAAGTTATATCAAGACCTTACATTTTCGCTTTGAGGTTGCCTTTATTAGGTATCGCTATATTTTTTATCGTGACCCATCAATATAGCCCAAGGCAAAATAGCCCAAAAACAAATTAACTCAACGATAAAATAGCCCATAGACAAAATAGCCCAAACACAAAGTAGCCCAAACACAAAATATCCCAAAGACAAAATAGCCCAAAGACAAAGCAGCCCAAAGATAAAATAGCCCAAACACAACGAGCCTGAGATAAAACAGTTTGATTGCCTTCTTTGCCTGATAAAAGAACGGATGATTGTCCTAAAAATAACTCGACCAATTCATGATTTCTGATAATCCTTCTATGTTTTTTCTCCTAACCTATCGGGGAAGTTTCATCTGGGGCGGTTTTGACTTTGGGCTATTTTGTCTTGAAAGATTTTGTCTTTGGGTGATTTTGTCTTTGGATATTTTGTCATTGGGCGATTTTGTCTTTGGACTATTTTGCCTTGGGCTATTTTGTCAGGGTACCTTTTTTATATGAAGATCATTGAGCCTACTTCACGACTATACCCTTCATTTTTTTGATATGTATATGGCTTCTAGATTGGAAACGGTAAAATATCTTTTATCAGATACTTTGTTTTTATAGTATTTTATAGACAAAACTACTATTCACAAATTTTCCTACTCCCAATATTCCCTTGCTCTTTTTACGATCTCTAAAATCGTAAGTTAATTTAGATTTTCATCCATAAATCCAAAGCACTTTATGTTTTTATTCCAGGAACTTTATTTTTATGGCGTTTTATTAGGAAATCTTTATTTTACAACTCCACAAGTTACATCACTTTTATAGTTCCTCAGGTTTTCAAAATAATTCCTTCTTCCTCGGAATAATAGTCAGTAATTTTGGATTTTCCTCCAATACTCCAAAACCGATTGTAGTAGAAATATTATTTATGTTTTATTTCATATAAAAAACTTCAAATTTTTCATTTTCTTTATATAAAAGTATTCTAAAGATATATACAATTATTATTGTACCCATACAAGGCATATACAAATCAATCATCTTACCCTCATCTCCATAGTTATACATATGGAGAAACCCCATGCTTTTTTGTTGAAAGTTAAAAGTGCAAAGTAGCTAATGGATATGTTTTTCCCGCAGCACATACTTTCCACACCGGCCACACCCGAAGCATACGAGGTCGTTTAGAGCGCGAGCGCGAATACGAAGAGTACTCGGACAGGGAGCTGAACGCGCACCTGGACGACTATCGAGAGCGCATCCCCATCCCCACGTCCAGGTCGCGCGACGAGGAGTTCACCAGCCACAGAGGAGCTTCCAGGCGCGCTCTCAACGCCATCTAGTGGAGGCTAACGACGGAACAGCCCATTGAAGAGGAATTTCCCGAAGAACTATCTCCAAAAGCGGAGGCCTACTACAAGCCGCAGATACCGCGCGAGTACCGCGACACCCGCACCGACCGGGAGCGCCGGTACGACGACACGGCGCTCGGCGACCGGCGTCCCGGCGGCGGCGACGAGAAGGAGCGGTACCCGGAGCGGGTGCGGTACGCGGAGGGGCCCAGCCGGCGGTACGCCGACGACAGGCGCGCCGGCTTCGTAGATAGGAGCAAATTGGAGGGCAGGAACTACAGGAAGGAGCTTATGGAGAGGTTTTCCGAGATGGAGATCGAGGATCGACCGGAGGTTTCTAGTCGCCATAGATACTACGAGTAATTTTTCAATTCGGAGATTCATGTTTTTTGGCCTAAATATTTGTAGACTTAGGGAGCTGCATAGGTTCAATGTCACCAGTAAAAATTTATTCCACCATTCACTCATTTATCAACCAACAAAATCTGTGGTCTAACATCAGTTTCCAAAAAAAAAATGGAGAAGGTTTTGTTTTTTGACTCCTCTCTTATACAATTCATCCTCTTTCACTGATTTTAATGGTACTTGTTAATCTGTTTTCTTCTGCAGAATTTTTTTGCAACTTCCTCATCATCTCAACTAATCAATAACCACATCTGTGTGATCTGGTAGATTTTTGCTTGGTGACAAAAAGGCATACTCCACACGTGCCTAAACCGATGTATGTACAAACTCTTTAAAAACCACTTAAAGAGAAACAAATTTGTAGTATCTTTCTCGACTTACTTCAATGGGGTGTTCCGTTAATTGTGATCAAAACCGCGAAGAGTTGAAACAAAAAGATCCCGTCTTGCACATATCTATCGATCGTTTTTGTAGGTTAAACCACGATTATACAGGGTGTCCTAAAATTAGACTACCAACGGGGAAAGTTCTTAGTGAATATTGTGTGTTAAAGTAATAGTGAATCGTATACAAGTTTGTTGGTTTGTATTGGAATAACTTTCTTTTAAAAAACTAGGAACTTAACTTATTTAAACTAACTTAATTTAAAAAAAGATAATTTTCTCTATGGTGCTGAAACTGTAGGTATAACCAGTGAATAATTAATGGTTCATTATTTCAAATCTCCTGGGCAGTGAATTTTATAGAAGACCCTGTGTAATTAGAAATCGACAAAAATGAGTCGGGTAATTTTTTTGTGGAAATTATTATTTTGTACGATTTTCCTGTTGGAAAAATCGACTTTCTCGATGTATTGGCATACACTGAGGCCGCCTTATTCCCGTTCGAGAGCCAGTATTCGGAAAATCTAGCTCTGCATTATACCTAAATAAATCCTTATCTATACTAGCCTAATATTCAGATTTCGAAATCGTTCGATTGCATAATGACTTATCGACTAGGGCTTTTTTTGAATTAATGCAACATTTCGATATTCTACCTCTTCGTGTAAGGATAAGGATTAGTAGTGTAAAAGCGACGGGTTCTTTTTTTTCGGCTCTTCGTGCAAATAAATTAAAAAAATGACCATTTTGGTGCCATATTTGAGTAATAGCTCAATTTTTAATCAATCTTTATTATTATTATTAAGAAAAAGAATATATTCAAGCTTTAAACTAGGATTTTTAAATTAAATTTTAAGGAAGGGTATTGTTGAAAACCGTAATATTTATGTATTTTATATATTAATGTATAATAACTTGCTGCTCAGTCTTACTAGGTGAACAATTTGTCCAGATTTATTATGAAATTTGCAATTAATAGTAAAATTATGCTTTAAAGGTTGCAATTTAATTTGTAATATAATTGAAATTATTTAGGATTATTTTAGGTATAGTAAAGTTGCTCTATTTTTTTTTGGAGTAAACCAATGTTTGCTTCAAAAAGAAAAAGTGTCTAGTTCGACTGGGCCATAAAAGAACTGAGATATTATACCTTAAAGAAAAGTGTACTCTATATTGGAGTGTAGGTATTTATTCGTATTTCGCTTGATTTTTCATAGTAAGGGAATATGAAATTATTGTTTACCATTGGAATATTTGCGTTGTCCGTCAAAAACTCATCTTTCGAAATGGTTTATAAAATGTTTTCGCGCACGTACATTTCGAAAAAAAAAATGGTAAAAAATAATGATTTAACTGACCCTGTACAACTACCTTCGTGATATTAACGTCAAGTATTTGACTGACTCTAGGAAAAATTTAGATGAGGATTGCACAGCTGAAAATGGTAAAATAACGCTTGTCGAAACTTTTTCAGAAAAAAAATGCTAGTTAATTCGTATTTGTAATTCGTACATTTGCTGAAAGGTAATGTATGTTCTTCGGGGGATTTTCAGGATTCGTTTATCGCGAATTAATTGGATCCTTGTTGAATTAAAGCGGTTTTTCCAGCCTTGGCAAACTTGATTCACATTAAGGAAATGGCGATGAATTGTACAGATGTACTATTTACAAATGAACAGTTAAATCCCACTTTTTATTGTAGCCTAAATACGAATTTGATATTCAGCAATTAAATAATTTCCAAGTTCGAGTAACCACGTTCACCTATTGCCAATTTCTAATAAATATACAGGGTATTAAAATAATAGACTATCGTTTCTGTGTATCACCTAGTGCATTTTTTGCTGAATAAACATTTCAAGAAGTTATTAGTTGGACAGATTTTTTGAAAAGTGCACTTCTCAATTAGAGCTTGTTTTGAAATAATACTCGTTTTGAAATAGTTTTTTTAGTTATCATTGAAGTTAATTACATTAGTTTTATTTCAACGGAAGTGTTGAAATTTTCTAATGCAGAAAATTTTCTACATTTTTATTGAAACAAACCTAATTTGTATTTAATAGATAACGTAGATAGGTAATCGCTTATTTTTGAATTCGAAAGCAATCGTTTTTGCATAACCAGGGTAATAATAAAATTACATTTTTCTAAATACTCAATACCGTCGGAAACAACGAATTCTGAAAATCGAAGCTTAAAAAAATTGTATATTTCGTACTGCATGTGTAACCACAGCATTCAGTGGTTAAAATCACCGACCAATTTCAACTACACTAAATGAATAATTTGTATTATACAGATAATGTAAAAATATGTCCCTAGAATCCCGCACATCGCATTAGCCGAGTTCAAACCAGTCTTATCTCTATTCGCAGATCTACCACTGAATTTGGTAATTTTTATTTTTAAAGAAGAAAATATATTATGATTATACAGGGTGCATACCTACTAAAACCAAAATGGGCCTTAAATAACGTTTGAAATAGTTGTATCTCCTATAAAAGTTTTACTCCATGGTACACCCTGTATAAATTAAAAATTGTAAAAAAGAAAGGGCGATGTAGGTTTATTATAAACATTAAAATTCAACTTCAATTTTTTTTATTTAAATGTAAAATTTAATGTTTTGCCACGTTCTAAAAGTATTCGATAACAATTTGAGGGTGCAATATTTCGTAAATGATCCTCATTTAGAATTTTGAGCTACGGCAAATGCGCTTTAAATGTAGATGTAGTGCCATAATTTTCCTTTTATTCCTATTATAACCAGTACTTATTAATAAAAATACTTATTACAAGCATTTCATTTTTTCGCTATTATCAAAGACGCTGCAGAACGAAGAATGAATTTTACTACTAAAATTGTTTACCTATTATTATTTACTTCACATTGATATTATTTTTTTGTTAAATAAAACTAACGAGTGATTCATAATAACTATTTCATTATCATAACATTTGAAGTAGATCATTTCAATGCCATTTTGAAAATTTTAGTAATTGTATTCCTTCCTGCTTCGTGTTTGATTCTACGTAAAATGCACTGCCTTATTATAAATAAAAAAAATTCCCATACATACTGTTAATACCTAAACGAGTCTATTGAACATTTCAAAAATTAATAATTATTATAATATTTGAAAATAGCTAAAACTTTGATACATTGTAAATAGCTAATAAAAATGAAGTCTATATACCGTTTGATTTTCTTATGTTGATGATGTACGGGGTGTTCTTTCAATTTAAGAAACATTTAGGTAAGTGTGAAATTATATTGAAACGACCGTTCGACGAACACCCTGTACAACGGATGTTCCAAATAACTAAACGTATATTTTTTTATTACATATTAGTTTAAATAGTTAAATTGGTTGATACTTTTTTCTTATAATTGGAACTCCTGCAATAAAATGAATCTCACATTTCCAGAATATTTTATGAAACAAGTCCGTGAACATTTTCGCATTACGTGCACATTTAATTAGCGATATTAGTTTAAATATTTTCCCAAAAACCTTGCCTAAACAAGCAAAATGATTATATTATTTTAATAGTCTGGAGATAAAGTTATTGTAGATCATTACCACAATGTATGTAAATAAAAAGAGATAAATTTTCCACGAATTGGAATTTTCGTAAAACATTCTGGAAATGGATTATTTTAATAATTAGGTACGTACTTAAGTAAAAGTGACATGTTAATGAAAATTATTTACAAAAAAAACGAGAGATTTTTTGTATCGATAATTTACGAGTTTACTATAAATGCCTTGCTATGATATGATTTTTCGTCACTTGTCCATTCGATTATGTGAATGTGAGAGTAAGAATGGAATGGCACTGTTGATGTGCATTTTTCTAAATAAAATAAATTCATAAATGCCACCCTGTGAGTTTTATTTATTACAACTTAAGAATATCTTATAGAAATAGAGTACAGTGAAACATACTTTCATAATAATTTTGAATTATATTTACTCGAGTAAATAAAAGGTTTTCTTCTGTGAATTTGAAATTTGACAAACCAATACCAAAATTATTACAAATCTATAAAAAGTTATTGCACCAAATATAATTGATTGCATAACAAAAATGAAATCAATACGTTTTTTTTTTGGAATTTATAAACAGCATTAATTTAGAAAATAATCGCTTTAAAAAATAGGAAAGTTTGTCGATTAACAATTGACAATAATTTCCCACGGCATTCACATGAATTTTAACGCGTTAAAAGCATTTTACCTTTATGTCACCTCTAATAACAGCTGCCGCAAATTCAATACAATCGGATTGTTAAAAATGTATTAAAAAATGTTCATTTCATAATGTTGTTTCAACAAATTAATTCTAACGATTTGCTATCTGCAGGTGTTTGAATTGTGGAAAAACAGTAAATTCGATTTACGTAACACACACACATACACACAACAGTAAGTACTTTTTGTGTTTCTTTTTTATTTGAATTTTATCTTTAGGGGTCATTTATGTTTTTAAAACTTATTTATAACTGTCTTTTTATGTGTAGTTACATATGTACTTATCTAATATTTGAATATTAGCACTCGAAATTTGAGACTTTAAAGACTTATTCTCCAGGGGTTGAATTTGGTAAAGGTAAATAGTGTTTAAATCAAGCAAATATTTCCAAGATATTACGCAAAATCCTATAGGTATGTACATAAAAGATAAGGATATTATTTTATAATAACTTACGATGATCTTTTTAAACAATGTTATTCTTTCTATTAGCTTGTATGTACCTATGTACCGATAGGTGGGGTATTTTTTTATACATTTAATAACATTAAATGATCATTAAAATCTCATTTATGTACGCACATAGAAACATGTGTTATTAATTTAATTTTAATCATCATTTTATCCATTTAACATTCATTTTTTGTTGTGAAAAAAGAAAAAAAAATAATCCAACTTACGGTAAGTGAAATAGAGGTACCTACATAACTGTTTAGTACTTGTATAATAAAATTTTGAGATCTTTTCCAAAAATATCGAATAAAATAAACTATTTAAATGAAATTTGGTTTGCCATTTGTACTTATAAAACATATTTTCACATGATTTTTATGCAATTAATAAATTAGTTCAAATAAGTTTCAAAAAGTTAATGAACGTGAAAATTACTACATTGGCTGTATACGCAGAGATAATTAAACAAACAAAAACCTAGCCTAATATTAAAATAATATTATCTACCACAAAAATTTGAAATATGTCATGCACATATACTTGAAAAACACCACTGATATTTACTTTGAACGAAATTGATCGATATGAAAAAAGCAATAAAAATGTACTTAAGAACAACAACTCACACGTCCTTTCGGATACTAACCACTAACTACCCTCTTTTGCAGATTATCCCAAGAAATCTAACCAATAAATTTTATTATCTGCATATAGGCACTATATTATAGAAACAGTAAGATAACACTGAGGATGAACCAAGTAACGCAAAGGGCTATAATAGCTGCCACAAGCAGAAATATGGCAACAACGGCTGATTACTTCGGAGGTACCATTAGAAAGAGGCACAAGAAACCATCATACCTTCGAACTGTGCCCCCAGTCACACCTACTGGGGGAAGATTTACAGTTACTATGGTTCCAGGTGAGAATCATCCCTTTATTTCTGTTATTATTTAGTTTAAATTACCTTCTTTCTCACTGCAGGTGTTTTTTTGTAATTGTTTTTTCTGCATATTATCGTGCGAATTGTACCTATAATATTGAACTATTTCAATTTTATTATCGTCACCTATCACGATTATTCTTTACAGTAAAATCCAAATATTGCACAATCGCATTATTCCATTATCTTTCATTAAATAAATGTTTTTTTAAAAGATTATTAACAAAGCTAATTTGCTGTATTTGTACAAGATATGCAACACAAGAGAAGAGGCAAACAAAGGAAACTGCTAATATGTTCGCAATCTCTGAGATAATGATTACAAAATGAATAATAAATGAAAAATGCGTTTCAGGGATTGGGGCCGGTCCGCAGATGATGAAGCAATTGATGAAAGTCTTCGAAGCCGCAGGAGCTCCCATAGACTTCGAAGTTATAGAGGACATAAAGGCGACCAAAAATATTATATCTTCGATCAAAAGAAACGGAGTCGCGATAAAAGTAAACCCGTAGATGAATCGGTTATTTTAAACTTATACTTTTGATACTTTAGGGTCATATTCCCGAATTACCTGACCATGCTTCCAATACTACGTTACGAACGCTTCTCGATTTGTACACCTACAAAGTTCACATTCGAAGTTACCCCAACGTCAGGAGTAAGTAAGTACCTTCCTGAAAATTATTTGGCATTGAAAAGGAGATTTATATTTTTTTGTTGGCTTTTAGGATAGATAATTTAGATGTGTACGTATTTAGGCAGAATATAGAAGGCGAGTACGCTATGCTGGAGCATTCTCCGAAACCGGGCATAGTGGAGAGTTTGAAAATTATTACCAGAGAAACGACCGAACGATTCGCGTACTGGGCGTACGGTTTCGCCAGGAAACACATGAGGAAGAAAATAACGATTATTCACAAAGCAAACATTATGTAAACGGTAGCTCTGATTTCAAGCGTTGCATTATTTTAGGTATTTTATAATTTTAGGAAATTAGCCGACGGTCTGTTTTTGAAGACGATCCAGCACATAGGAAAGGAATTCCCGGATATTAAAACCGAGAACATGATCGTCGACAATTGCTCCATGCAAATAGTCAAAGACCCGCACGCTTTCGACGTGCTGCTCACTCCCAATTTGTACGGGAACATAGTAATTAGCATATTTTGCGGGCTAATCGGAGGCCACGGCCTGATTTCGGGAGAAAACATCAGCGACGATAACGCCGTTTTCGAAGTCGGACTCAGACATATAGCACTTCAAGGTATAGCAATTTTACCTCACCAAATGTAGCTTGGCAGTTGGAATGATTAAGAATTTGGATACGCTGTATCAAAAGCTTGGAAAAGAGTATTTCCACTAGATTAGTCAATTTATTTTATATCCTTTCAGTGTGTCCTCTTCATATTAAGCAAGAATCATTTTGAACTATTTTAGAAATGAATTAGGATCCTTTGAAACAATTCAGAACAATCTTAGGACTATTTAGAACAGTTCAAAATCACTTAATTATTCAGACTTAATTTGACTGTCCATAATTATTTTGAACCGTTTTAGAACTGACAGCCACCATTTGAAGCAGTTCAGAACTACTCTAGAACTATTTAGAACTGTTCAAAACCGCTTAGGATTGTCCAGAATCATTTTGAACCATTTTAGAATTAAATTAGGACCGTTTAAAGCAATTCAGAACAATCTTAGGACAATTTAAAACTGTTTGAAATCACTTAGGATTATCCATAATTATTTTGAACCATTTTAGAACTGACAGCTACCATTTAAAGCAGTTCAGAACTACTCTAGAACTATTTAGAACTGTTCAAAATCGCTTAGGATTGTCCAGAATCATTTTGAATCATTTTAGAAATGAATTAGCACCTTTTAAAACAGTTCAAAGCTATTTTAGAACTATAAAACTGTTCAATAAACTTTTAACGTTAAGAACTTTGCCATCAAACGTACTTTGTTAAAGAGTATAAATTGGATTTTTCTTAAATTATCGGTTTCGCCGCAAAAAAGTTTTTCTTGATTTTCCAAAAGTGGAATTTTATCATTTTTCCAATCACCCATTCACCTATTAAGTATAATACAGTTGAGTTTTTGTCGGTTTTAGATCCAGTGTATTTCAATCCCATCGCCATGTTGAACGCGGGGGTCGAGATGTTGCTCTATTTGAAGAAAGATGCTTACGCGAATTTGATAGCAGAGGCGGTGTACTCGACTTTAGTTGAAGATAAATGCCACACGCCGGATTTGGGCGGTGAAGCTACCAGTAGCGATGTTGTCAATAACGTAATTTGTCGTATGAAAGAAACGCTGAATAGAGAGCCTCTACCGAGTATATTTCTATAGGGATTGTCGATAATTGGGTTTCAGGATTCAGCAACTTTACTGTATTTTTAATGCGGATATACAATTGTTACTTGTAGAACATTTGACAATATTAAATTGTATATTAGGTATCTCCTTTTTTGTTCACACCAAAAATAATTGTAGGAAAGGGGACTAAGAAGGGGAGGTCCTATTGAGTGGCCACCGAGATCACCAGACTTAACGATACCTGATTTTTTTCTAAAGGGGTTACCTCAAGTCATTTTTGATCAATCAATTTTTCAATTTTGCTTTAAATCGTCTAGAGCTAGATTGCCCTGGTCGTCCCTTTGATTCTCTAATTAAGCAAAATTAATGGTTCGATGATGTTTAGAGCAATATCGCTTTAGAAACTTGAAACAAGAATTCTTAGATTTTGTAAATTCTACAAAAGTTTGGCAATACTGCCTACTAAATTTATGGTGACGTGCACCGAACATTGTTTTACATAAACTGCAGAAAATATTTAGTAGTAATTGAATACATTAATAGAAAGAGATTTAACGTCGTTTTTGAAACCGCCAAATCCACCTTTCAAATATTATCAAACGTACACATAAACGTAAGTCAAATAGGTCAGTTTAATTTTACAGTATCACTCTAAATTTTAAAAAGATTCGTCGAGCAGTAAGGTAAATTAATGGCAGAAAACGTAACTAGCGTTCGCTCTGTGGAAGTTTTGGTAGCCAAACCGTATAAATGAGAGAAATCATGAATAATTTAGAACAAATAATTTCGAAATTAACGTTAATACAGCGCCTGTCTTCGAAAATTTTGAACATGTCCGTGATAAATCGGAAACGACACCGGCCGACTTATCTGCAAGTTGCGCCTCCAATCAAGCCCGTTAAAGGAAAATTCACAGTTACTATGTTACCAGGTATGTAGAGATAATTTTTGAATAGCCCAAAATAATTCTACTCATTATAAAAAGCTATACGTTGAAATAAAATCTGATGAAGATATTGGTTAAAGTACTAACACTAACACTTTTAAATATGGATATAAAAGAGTATTTTATCTGTAGAAATCTAATTCTAATGGTTTGATAGAACCAAGCGAATATTTAAACATTTAATTTGAACAGTAATTAAAGATTGCAATAGATGTTCTGTATTGAACAATCTTATAAAGAAAGATGGAGTCTCTAACCACCTGAGGACTGCAAATCTCTGATTAGGTACATACCATCTCCCTTCTTTAAATATTGCTAGGGAGCATCCAATTTCTAAAAAATCCAACTGCCAAGCTACCATTGGTGAGGTATAAATTCCACTTGCAGGTGTAGCAACTGGCCCGCAAATGATGGAATACATCCAAGAAGTTTACAAAGCCGTTAACGCGCCTATAATCTTCGAAAGGATAGACGACATGAAAGCGACCGATAAAATTCTAGCTTCTATTCGAAAAAACCGAGTCGCCATTAAAGTAATGAAACAACCGTGCTATTTTTAACGTACTATACGTAGATTTTTGTGTTTATATTTTAGGGTCACATTCCGGAAATACCCGAAACTGCATCTAACATAACATTGCGCAGTAACCTGAACATGTATGTATACAAAGTTCATATTGTAAGCTACCCGAACGTGAGAAGTAGGTATGTTGATGTAGTATAATCCATCTATTTTAACCTGGTGGTGGCGTCACATTTACGTAATCACTAGGTTAACATGAACAGCGTTTAAACAATATTTTATTCAGGATTCAAAATATGGATATAATAGTATTTAGACAGAACATAGAAGGGGAATATTCGCTTTTGGAGCACACCCCTAAGCCAGGAATAGTGGAAGGTTTGAAAATAATATCGAGGAAAACGACGAGGAAATTCGCCCAATGGGCGTACGGCGTGGCGAGGAGAGAAAAGAGGAAGAAAGTATCGATTGTGCACAAAGCGAATATAATGTAAGAGCGTTTTCACACGGTGCAATATATGGCAGCAATAAATTGTTGCAATATTGGCGCATTGCGGTTAAAATAGTTAACGAGTTCAAATGGGTAGTTTTCACAATATTGCAATGTCGTGCAATGTGTTCAACAAAATATGGTACGATAAAATATTGCATCGATAGGAGAAATATATGCAAGTTTATGCAGGTTTTCACACGATTCAGCAATTATTGCACTAATTTGGTCAGTATCATCTAAACAGTGTTGCCATACGTAAGATTAGGTGATGAATTCTTATGAAATCTGTTACACTATTTACTAGAAAATCGAAAGTTGATGGACTTATACGAAAGTAATTAAAAAATTTCCCATCCACTACCAAATCTTACCTACGGCAACACTGTTTAGATAATACTTTATTTTAACTGCAAAGCAATAAAAAATTGCTGCAATATATTGCAGCCTATGAAAACTCTATGAAAGAGTGGCATTTGAATCAGTGTCGCAGATAAAAAGACAAATTTTTAGGAAGCTAACGGACGGGCTTTTCATGGAGACCATCGAGGAAATCGGCAGGGATTATCCGGAGATAAAAACGGAGAAAGTTATAATCGACGATTGCTCTCACAAAGCGGTGAGAGTGCCGCACTCGTTCGACGTTATCATAACGCCAAATTTGTACGGGAACATCTTGATTAGCATATTTTGCGGCCTGATCGGCGGTCACGGGCTCATATCTGGGCAAAATTTCAGCGACGAATGCGGCATTTTCGAGGTGGGACTGCGCCACTTGGCGTTTGAAGGTAACCAAAATCGCTGTCAATTTTTATTAATGAAATCGAAATTAATAATATCTACATATGAATAATTCTGTGGATAGATGCCATAGGTTAATAGGTAAAATATTTGATATAATTGAGTACACTAGATCATCAGTTCTACCACAGATATCTCTTATTAAGTTCTACAAAATGGTAGAATATGACAGTAAAAGTAAAAGCCAGTTCAAGAAAGTTAACTTTAAAGCTACCAAAAAACTACTTAAGTACTGAATAAGAAATTTGAATCAATGATAATATTAGTAGAATACTTGTTGTCCAAAAAGTTTGGAAACAGCCGGGTTTCAATCAAATTTTAGATTTGAATGAAAAAATAAAAAAAAACACTTACACAACATTTTTGCAGAACCATTTAGAACTATCTAGAACCGGTTAGAACGCTCCAGAATCATATAGAACTGTCTAAAACCGCTTCAAAAGAACGCTTCAGAGATGTTTAGAACTGTCTAACTGTCTAAAACCATTTAGGATACTCCAAAACGATTTAAATCTCTCTAGAAATCTATCATTTACAATGCTCCAGAGGATAATTCAGAACAGTCTAAATTCTATTCATAGTCTAGAATAATCTAAAACGCCTCTGTTTTCGTATAGAACTGCCTAGAATAGAAACATTTAGAACGATCCAGACCCATTCAGAAATATCTAGAACCATTTAGAACTCTCTAGAATCATTTATTTAGAACGCTCCAGAAACATTTAGAACTCTCTAGACTAGAACCATATAGACCTCGACACACCAAGTTATGGCGTCTAACCAAAGAATTCTCTTTACCAATTAATTGACCTCCTTTCCAGACGAAATGTATGTCAATCCAGTGGCAATAATCAACGCCGGTGCCAATTTATTGTTATTTTTGAAGCAAGATTATTTGGCCAAGATCATATTTAAAGCCGTCTATTTGACGCTGGTAGAAGATAAATGCCACACTCCTGACTTAGGCGGGAAAGCGACCAGCAGTGAAGTCGTAGAAAGAGTTATATGTCGACTCAAAGAGCTAGCAGCGCGTTCTCAATGCGCGGGATAACAATGAAGAAAGATATTATAAATTAAAAATGTTATAAGGATTATAATTGTTACGGCTAACGTGGAAAATTACATAACAAATGCATGGTTGTTATGAAGGAATTAGCTTTTTCTATCACTAGCTAACTGACCCTAATCTAGCCGACCGTTATTCTATTAGAAAGAGCTAATTTCTTAGTTTCTCACTAACTTAGTATCCATTTTAGCCCAGCAAAATAAATATACCAATATCGCTTACTTTTCCTTTCATGCGTTTTTAAACCTTTTCTTAGATAAAATCTCCATAATCATTAATCATTAATCATCAAACACTAGAATTCTTGTCTAGAATTTTGAAATTCCCGCTCTATTTTTAGTAACATAATCGTCCACCAGTCCACATTACTTTTTCAATTGGACAGAAAATTTAAAGTTGAATTAGTACAAAATTAATAAGGTTAATTCATATTGGCAAAAGTCACAAATAAATTTTGTAAACGCACTTTTTACAATCAAATTTTGATTTTAAAAATTTACATTCTGTAGCCACCTCTTAGCCATTTGCGTAACTACGTTTGCTCGTTTACCTAGTCGATAAAGCAGATCTGTCAACAACGTCATTCAAACAAACGTCACAAAATTTGATGTTAAATAAACGTCAATTTCGTTTTAATGTAAATCAAGAATACTTTGTTAATTGAAAATTAGATTAGTTACTATTTGCGGTCATGAACTCCATTATACGATTGTTCTGATAAAAATCGAGAGTTTAGCGTTTATTCTTAGGTTACTTTCTAGTGATTTTAGATAGAAAAAATGGGACTTTTCGGTACCACCACAGATACTGCAATCATAGAAGAAGTCGGTGAGTCATTATTCATGTTTTCATTTCGATTGCTTTCAATCGTTTAGTTGTTGTTTAATCGCGTCGAATATTCCGCACAGACTTCGCGACGAGCGAGAAAAATGTCGAGGAAGATTGGGGACAGATAATGAACATTTGCGACAAAGCTGGCAAGTCGAGTGACGATGCAAAACAATATCTCAGGGCTATTATCAAACGATTGAACCACACGGATCCTCACGTCGGTGTAAAAGCTGTAACTGTAAGTGTTTATTTTATATTTAAGAGTGTAAATTATTATGTTAGCCGGACACTCGAAAGCTCCTCGTTCACCTGTATCAGTAGAGGAAATGAAACATCGGATCATGTCCTCCTAGAATGTCAGCATTCTAGGTGACATCTGGGGTAAATCTTCGGAGTCCCTCGAGACATAAACAGGCATCCATTGAGTCCTTTGTCGAGGGACTATTCAGCCTTGACTCGAGCCTGTCTCGGTGAAGGTTCGCCTGCGATTTAGCGCTGTTACTGAGCGACGCTTCTCTTTGCAGTTGCTGGACGCTTGTGTGAAAAATTCCGGTAAAACGTTTCACATCGAAGTGGCTTCGAGGGACTTTGAGACCGATTACACGAAGTTGGTGAACAAGGCGCACCCGACGGTAGCGAAGAAATTGAGGGAGTCCCTTCGCAAATGGGCGGAGAACGAGTTTAAATCCGACTCGCAACTCAGCCTGATTCCTACGCTTTTGAACAAATTAAAGGGCGGCGGAATGGATTTCTCCCTTCCCGAAACGGTGAGTTTAAATATTTAATAAAAGTCAGTGTTTTATAGGGGAAATTATATCTAGATTATTTTCATTGGGACACACCAGTAAATAACAAATACATTTTAAGTATTTTATTTACTTTGAGAATTAGTTATCCATGTTGTTTTGTAATTAAATAATAATATTTGTCGCCTTGTTTTGGCTCCAACACTTTTTAAAATTGTAATATAAAACCTTCAGATAATTAGAATAGTGTTGTATGCAGAATTCGTTGCAAGATTTCATTATTATTTCATTATTTTCCTTTGTACAATTGTAAGGTAAAATGTTCTCGGTCCGATAATGAAAAACAGTTGAAAAATTACATTAATCTTATTTATTAAGTCGAAATCTTTAGTTCTAGACAGTTCTAAATGACTCTGGAGCAATCTAAATAGTTCTAGACAGTTCTAAATGATTCTGGAGCGTTTTAAATGGTTCTAGACAGTTCTAAATGTTTCTGGAGTGTTTTAAATGGTTGTAAACACATCTAGAAATAATTGGAAATGTCCCAAAAAGAAAACAAGATTTTTTTTGCTCATTGGAGCGCTCTCAGTGTGTCAGGTCGAAAACTTTTCTACATTTCTTTTCTACATTTAAAAGATTGTTCGCCCTGTAAGTTTTATCATATCTCGGGAGCATGCATATGTATATACACAAATATTTCTGCTTGTTTTTATTAAGACAAGTGGGGATATGTTTTTCTACCAGTCCCCAGTTCATTACACTCTTCTACAACAGAAACAATTTTGTAAATATATGCGGCGAAAACGTAAAAATGTTTGGGTATTTTCCTCTCATTAACGAACTTATTAATAATGCCAAAGTGTGTGTAAGTATTTCATCAGTTCCTAGTTTTGTGGTGCAACAAAATGGCTGCAAATACTTTGTTACACAAATAAACACCTGCAACCTCATTTTTTGTGATAGTACTTTGTGATAGTAGTGCGAGGTATTCCATGATAAGTAGATAAATTTAATGAATCATTATGATCAAGATCTCCATAATCACATTAATCGTTTGTCGTAAATGTACATATTTTATGACCTAAAAATATTATCTATACCTTATTTCATTTATGAATTTATGATACCTTGAAGGGAGAATTTCAAATTAAATTAAATTTATAGGTAAGTATACCAATTTAGAAATGATATTCGAGTATACGTATATTGATTTCAATCCCGCCCAGTTCAATTTCTTCTGAATTTATTAATTTTCAATTTCATAATTTATTATTTAACCAATAGATTGTTCAATTTATCCAACATGGTCATCATTCTGGAGACGATTCTAAATATTTCATGAGCTTTCTAAATGGTTCTAAACAGTTCCAAATGGTTCTAGACAGTTCTAGGGGGGTCTAAATGGTTCTAGACTATTCTAAATGTTTCTGGAGTGCTCTAAATAGTTCTAGACAGTTGTAAATGATTCAGGAGCGTTCTTAAATGGTTCTAGACAGTTTTAAATGTTTCTGGAAAGTCCTAAATTATTCTGAAGAGTTGTAAGTTGTTCTAGGCAGTTCTAAATGATTCTGGAGCGTTCTAAATGGTTCTAAACAAATAGTTCTAGAATTCTAGACAGTTCAAGTATATGTATATCAATTTGTCATAATTTATAATTTAACCAATTGAATTATTTTTCAATTAAATTAAATTGTATGTCTCCATTTTTTATGTATCTACATCATGCTTAGCGAAGGTTAAAATAATTAGTTGGCGCTGTTATTTTGTGCTTGTTCATTCACCTTTTGAAACATCGGATTTTGTTCACAATTTTTTATGCTAAACAAAGTTTAAAAGTGTAATTTTTTAAACAAATTACGTTATTGAATCTACATATTCAGGTTTATTTCTTAGTGTTCTGAACGGTTCTGGATCGTTCTAAATGATTCCAGACAGTTCTAAATGATTGTAGACAGTTCTAAATGATTCTGGAGCGTTCAAAATGATTCTAGGCACTTGTTAAATTTGGATTAAACAGCATATTTTTGGGTCTACTACATGCCCCCGCTCTGTATCAGTTCTTAAGCGATACACCCTGTATATCAATAAATTGACCGATTGACTAATATTTTCAGCCGGCCAAAAAGCCAACGGCCCTCAGCAAGGACCCGAACGTAGTGGAGACCCAAGAAGAAGAAGAACAAATACTCAAAGCCATCGAATTGTCGCTGAAGGAAACGGGATCGCCCCGATCAGCGATCACCGCTAGCCATTCGACGACGCACGCGCCGTCGCTCTATCCGTCGATTACCAGCGTCGCGACGGCGGCGACGGCGGCGGCCACGTCCGCCCTGCCGGCGAAGGAGCCGCGAAAGGTGCGGGCTTTGTACGATTTCGAAGCGGCCGAAGATAACGAATTGACATTTACCAGCGGTGAAATTAGTAGGTTTTTTTTTGATTCCACGACGTTCCATCACAAGACTAATCATCACGCGACATTTCATCACTACCACTATTCTTCAATACGACTATTTATCACACCTACTTAAAAAAATTGTAAAATAAAACAAGACTTTTGGGGACAAAATTACCTCATGGTCGTGTTCCGATGAGGGTAGAGATTAGTTTTTATTCGTTTTTTGGATCCTTTCTTAAAAATTTTAATTTTAATAACTATTTCATCAAACATTTATTTACACATAGTTGAGATTAGAATGTAGAAGCAAGTGAATACTCGATTAAAATATGTACTTTCAGATTTTTAGTATAGCTGTAGCTTTGTCCCCAAAACTCGCGACATGCTAGCTCACAGAAAATAATCATTAACTCTCAAATAGCTCTCTCAACATTGTCCACTGGCGAGAACTACTCTCAAATGGACACCTAGTATAATACTCTTTTCATTGCGTAATTCGTGCGATTTCAGTTGTTGTTACCGACGATTCCGATCCGAATTGGTGGAAAGGGAGCAATCACAGAGGAGAAGGTTTGTTCCCGGCGAATTTCGTGACGGCCGATTTGTCCGTAGAACCCGAGAAATTTCGTAAGATTCAATTCAATATAATCTCCCAACAGCGCTCCTAATTGAATTAATTTTGTAGTGTTCGAAAAAGCGAAGAAAATGGTCCAATTCAAAGACACTACCGAAGTCAATGTGGAGAAAGAAGAGCCGGAAGAGGTCGAAATAGATGAAAACAAGATCGATAGATTGTTGCATTTATTACACGAAGCCGATCCGACTAATCCGGAAAAAGACACCGAGGAAATGTTGAATCTTGAAGGTACGATCTCGAAGGAATGACATTAAGGGCGCCACTTTAGAGTATTTTTAAATGGGAAAACATAGGTTCAGTAATTCTAGTAAGATTCAAATTTCGCTTCATCAATTGATTTGAATCTTTTTTACATCTAATGTAGAGACTCCAAGCGATGATATCTTTTATTAATCTCATCTACTTCATTATATATTTAAGAAAATTGAAATCAAAAACTGCCATTTATTTACCATGCTTTTTATATGGTTAAACGTAATCCTAGTTAAACTCGAGTTTTATTGAACAAATGTGTGATTTATTTTAGTAGTATTTTAGTTTATATTGATTGGTCCACAGGCTGTATTAAATTGAAAAAAAAACTAATTAAAGAATTTTAGCAAATGATGGATGATAGATTACTGTCAAATTATGGTGTCGCCTGACATAAATGTCAAATCACAGAACGATTTATATTACAATGTTGTATGTTTGATTTTATGTCAAGTTTAATCAAACACAGAACATCTACTAGTTAAACTATTCTCATCCCATCTATTTTGAAAAAAAATAGAAATATAGTTTTATTTTTCGCCACAAATTATGAATTTGAGGACTTTCTTTGGCGGCCCTAAAGAATTTAATTTATTTCGTATTTTTACAGGCGAAGTGAACGCCATGGGGCCATTGATAGACAGCGAACTCGAAAAAGTCGATAGGAAACACGCCCAATTGACTCAGCTGAGCGCCGATTTGGTCGAAGCTTTGGGTCTCTATCACACTCTAATGAGAGAACCCTCGTTCCCCGCATTGGGTAAAATGTCGTACGGATTCCCCCCCAACGCAATAGTGAGTAATCCTCCTCATGCTCTAACGCCCATAATCACCAATTTCGGCTTATCACCTCCTAATAAATGTCAGTTGGATAAAATTTAACTGTCGGTTAATAATATTTGTTATTCACCGCGATATTTGAAGTAACTGTTATAGCGTTTTCCATTGGTAAAATAGTTATAAAGATATTAAAAATTGCCCGCGTATATAGACTACTTATCCCAAATCCCAAGCGCCAGAAGGTGGGGTGTAAACTCTTCATTTCTATTCTAAAATCGAATATTTTTCTTAGCCTTTCAGCGGCGGTTTACCGCCGAATTCTCACATGATGATGCAAGTACCGCCGGGCATGCCGCCCGATAGAGCCGGTCAATATCTACCGCCGCCGTCGAACAACGGATCGGGCATGCCGCCGCCGCCCCATTACCACCTATCGCCGCAAATCAGCAACCAACAATTGCCGCCCTCGCAAATGCAGCAAATGATGCCGCCCAACGCTCAAATGGCGTTGCAAATGGCTAACCAGCAACAACAGCAACAGCAGCAGCAGCAGCAACAACAGCAGCAAATTGCGGAAGATAGGAGAGTCGATCCATCGATGATGATGTACCCGGGGTAAATATTCGATTAATTGTACTAGGTTACAGATTTTTAATGGTTCTAGACAGTTCTAAATGATTCTAGAGCGGTGTAAATGAGTCTAGAGCGTTCCAGATGGTTCGAGACAGTTGTAAATGTTTCTGGAGCGTTGTAAACGACTCTAGGCAGTTCGAAATGATACTGGAGCGTCTAAATGCTTCTAGACAGTTCTAAATTGTTCTGGAGCGTTCTCTAAACAGTTCTAAATGATTCTGGAGCATTCTGAATGTTTTTGGATCGATATAAATGAATCTAGATAGTTCTAAATGATACTAAACAGTTCTAAATGATTCTGAAGCATTCTAAATGTTTCTGGAGCGATCTAAATGAATCTAGACAGTTCTAAATGATTCTGGAGGATTCTATATGAATCTGGAGTGTTCTAAATTATTCTGGAACATTCTATATGAATCCGGAGTGTTCTAAATTATTGTGGACCATTCTGAATGCTTTTGGAGCGATCTAAATGAATCTAGATAGTTCTAAATGATTCTAAACAGTTCTAAATGATTCTGAAGCATTCTAAATGTTTCTGGAGCGATCTAAATGAATCTAGACAGTTCTAAATGATTCTGGAGGATTCTATATGAATCTGGAGTGTTCTAAATTATTGTGGACCATTATGAATGCTGTTGGAGCGATCTAAATGAATCTAGATAGTTCTAAATGATTCTGGAGGATTCTATATGAGTCTGGAGTGTTCTATATAATTCTGGATCATTCTAAATGTTTCTGAAGCGATCTTAATGAATCTAAACAGTTCTAAATTATTCAGGATCATTCTGAATGTTTTTGGAGCGATCTAAATAAATCTAGATAATTCTAAATGATACTATAGACAGTTCTAAATGATTATGGGGCGTTCCAAATGAATCTAGACAGTTCCTAATGATTCTGGAGAGCTCTATAGGAATCTGGAGTGTTTTAAACGAATTTAGATAGTTCTAAATGATTCTGGAGCGTTCTAAATTAATCTGGACCGATATAAATGGTGTCGTAGGAGACTATTGTTGGACATTAATACGCGAAATCGACCTATAATCATACAAAACAAAAATTTAATGCTCAGCATTTCCAATTTGTAGTTTGTTTCCTTGTAAACTACTGTTATGCTCGAGATATCATTTTCAAGTGGAAGTAGAGAAGTTTTTAGTAAACAAAATATTATTTATTTCAGGGTAGGAAATTACGGCCCGCCGAGTAGCTTACCACCGACCGGTCAGAATTTCCCGCCGGGGATTCCCTCGCAAACGAACATTCAAAACGGGCCCCAGCAGTTACCCGGTATTCATTACGTTACGTCCAGTACGCATATGACCCACTGATTTAGCGATTTGGTGATGTTATCAATTAATCAACCAAAAAAAATTGTGCAAGGTCGCTGGCTCGATTGGCGTCCGACGAGAATTATCGCGCGGCGTTAATCGGGTTCGCTTCCACAGACTTGAAGATTATAATAAAAAAAGTAACAATGTGATGTATTATAGTTTTGAACCTATTAATGTGTATAGATTCTTTTAAATATTCCGCTAAATATATATGTTATCGTTTACAGTTTTAAGTATGTTTAGTATTTGTTTCCAGTTTTGGAAAAGCGAAAACTAGTCAAACGACTGAGAGATGTAGGTAGCTTCTGACAAAAAAGTACCTGGAAATTCTGATTTCAATTACCTGCACTTGATATTTTTAAGTATTTTGAAGTTTCTGCATGTAGGTAACACTGTTCTTAATTAGCATGTAAAAAATTAAAGAGATTTCTCAATCAATTTGGTTGTAGCAGCTGATTGAATCAGTTCATCTGACTAGTGCCCTGCGAATTTTGCAACGGACAAAAATAATGAACAAAGAATTTGTCTCATATTTTGGGGTTTGAACGGAATTTCCTCGTAGGAATTTTCCTAACGAAACATCTTCCGTTAAACCGCTCGTTTGATTTCGTTCAATCCATCAGTCATCAAAGAAAATTCGCAGGAGGAAAAATCCGTACCAAAAATGGCCTATAAGTATGCTTCGATGCTTGGAAAAGGCGTGGGACTATGTGCATCGTTTCAAATGGATCATATTTTGAAGGAGCTTCAAGAAAAATTAAAGAAGCTTAGGAATTTTGCGTTTTATTCCAATTTTCCGGGTACTTTTTTGTCACTGTTGTATGTACATATACAATGAAGTGCAAATTCGAATATTTTTTCACGTTTTTCTTTTTATATACTGGGTGATTTTTTGAGAAGTTTCCACCTCCGATATTTCCCCCTACAAATTTTTGCTGCTAGGAAGCCAGAACTCGTCAATTTTGTTTTTGGTGGGGACATCTAACTATTATATTTTCAATCTTGCAGTTTCACCCCTTGGGCAGGGTGGTTACCATTTTCAAAACCTTAAATGGGACTGGAGGTCAAGAATTTTTTTAATGGAGGTTAAATTCTAATTATTAACTCAAAAAATCTATACTTGTTTGTAAGTATGTCGTTTCCGTAATTATCTTTGTTATTTTTTTACGTGAAATCGTTTGAGCAAATAGAGTTGTTAAACGTTTTGAAAATGATTGTGATACTGAAAATGCTTGTGTTACTCCATGTATAATTTAAATTATATTTTATCTGCATACTAAAAAATTATAATTGTAGTTGAGGCTGCAAAATTTTAGTGAAATTTGTATTAAACAAGGAATATAAGGCACTTTTTTAAGCAGTTGCATCAGTACAAATTACAACGAGTTAGACACTTTTCTCAAATTTAATTTGATTAAAATATTTTTATTTTAATACTTCCTTTGCAAATATTACACTATTCGGGGTGTTCGAAAAATAGACGCGAGTTATTTAAGAGGGGGATTTCTTCTTAAAAAATATATTTTTTTTCTAAACATGGGTCCGGAAATTCAAACTTTTCAAGATACAGGATGTTAAATTAAAACAAAAAATAAATAATGCCTTAAAAATATTTACTTGGTTCTGTTGAAATTTAGCAATGTTGTATTAAGAGGCTAATTTATAAATTATTATTTTGTATTTATAAATACAACAAAATAACATTGCCAAGTTCCAACAGAATCAAGTAAATATTTTTTAAGATACTTAATAAGATATTTTTTTTATTTAACATCCAGTATCTTGAAAACTGTGCATTTCAAGACCCACTTCCTACAACTTTTTTTCATATTTTTTAACATGGAATCACCATCTTAAATATCTCCGTCCATTTTTTTAACACCCTGTATATCTTCTTATTCTAATCTTTGACTATTTTTCGTACGAATTTCACGTAACCATGAATTATTATTTTTTCAAAAGTATTTATTTTAAATAGGAAGGCTGATATTTGGTCGCTTGTAAAGCTTGTAAAGACGCGAAAGTTGCTTTTTGTTAACAAGAATGGATATATTTTTAAGTCGGCATGATTATAATGTATATTAAAATTTATTGAACTACATTATTGTTTGTTTTTGAAACAATATTTTCTTTCAAGTAAATTTTTTTAATTCCTGGACATCAATTTACAAAGGATATTTTTAATCAACTGGCAGATTATTCAAAATGTAAAGTTCATTTTCCAAGTAATTTATCGAAAGGGATAATAAGAAAATGCTCAGTTTAAAAATTAACATACTTCCAGTAAAATATTCGCCCTCTTATATTGAACGTAATTTAAAATGCAAATTGTACTGCAATTTATAATAAATTAGGCATTTTTATTATTTAACAATGCATTTTTAAGGTTTTCCCCAAAAAAATGCATTTTTCAGCTAAGCATTTATTCACACTCATTTATTTAAATACAAGTAATAATGAATTTATTATTTAATTTACTCACAAACAATAAAAGTAGGAAGAATCTGAATCTATAAAAACTACTCCCAAAAAGTTACGAATGCTTCCTCGAAGTACCATGGATAAATACTCTTCGATACCGCATTATTCTGCAAATTGAGAAACATATCTCTATTCCCTCGAAAAGCGAACTCGTCGATTTCCGTTATATTATTATCGGCGATATTCAGCACGAATAACTTATTGGGCATATTCTCCAAAATTCCCCTGCCGATTTTCTTCAAACAATTCCCACTTAAGCTCAACGTTTGTAGGTGCTTCATGTCGTCGAAAGATCCCGGCAGAATGGCGGAAATTCTGTTCCCATCGAGGAGTAAAATATGGAAAAAAGTGCCGTTAAACACACCCGGCACCACTTCCTCGAGGCCATTCCTCTGCAGAGACAACATCCTCACGTATCCTCTCCATAAAGGACGCACGTCATCGAACGTCCCCGGCTCTACGAGCTCTATTTCATTGTTATCGATAATGAGATCGTCCACGAACAATCCAACGAATATTCCATCGGTGAGATTTTGAATGTTATTATTAACGATTTCCACCGACACTGCAGTCACGTTTTTGAAGGCCTCCTCTTCGATGGTCTCCACGCTGCAATTGTCTATTCGAATAAAACCGGCGCGGGTTAAATTCACGAAAGAATGCTTCGCTATTTCTGGCAAGTACTCCTGTACGTTATTCAGACTCAAACTAACTGTTAATGGAGATAAGAGAACACAAAAAAGCGTTGCACTTTGATAGAACATTGCACTCTAATTGACACCATTAACATTAGTTAGCGATTATTTATTGGAAGGAGCAAAGTTTATCTAACGATTTGATGAAATGTGTGAAATTCGATATTAGAGGCGTAAATTTTACACTATAGCTTTCGAATTTTATTTAGTTTACTTTTTATATTATGGCTTGCTTATTCCAAATGTGGCGTCGAAAAAAAAAATCAGCACGTCTAATTTCTTTAATTTGTCCAAAATGGTAATAATTCTGGAGCGTTATAAATGGTTCTCTGGACCGTTCTAAACGGTTTTAAATAGTTCTAAATGATTCTGGAGTGTTCTAAATAGTTTTAAACCCTTCTAAATGATTCTGGTGCGTTCTAAATAGTTCTGGAGCGTTCTAAACGGTTCTAAATAGTTCCAAATGTTTCTCCCATTATCATTTGCAGTTCATTCCACAAAACCTCGTACACCAATGTTATTATTTGCAATTTAGTTGTTTGGTAAAATTTAAAGCTGAAATGAAATGAAACTCGCCAAAAAGATACAAATATTTTATTTCTCTTTAAATCAAGCAATACAGTAAACTGTAAATTAATTCGAAGCGAGTCTTAGCCTACATAAAAATGTAAAGTAACAGTTTCTCTCAATGTCCAGTTATGTGATATATCCGTCGAAAGTCTTTGAAAAAGTAAAGTGTATGCTGTTGACATGCAACTTCTAAGGTCTATTTGTAACTAGTCTAGTCTAGTTAACTCAGTTTTGTCGGTTTCATCTAAGGAAAAAAATTACCATTTCTAAATAAAATAGGCACAAAGAACAAGTTGAGAAAATAATAATAACGTTCTCATAGTCAATTTATTTCAATAAAAAAGTGTGTTTATTAAAGTTAATATCAGTAGTAAAGTCAATACGATCAAGTACTGTCCTCATGTTGGTGAGTTGTCTTGATGGAGTTTCCTAATGTTGTGATTAACTTGTAATTTATGTTTTTTTAACATTATCCTAATATCCAGAACTTTACATGAATCCAGAATCTACTTGATTCTTCGATTACTTGCGCCACTTGTGGATTTTTTCTGATTACTATTATGGTCTTCACAACTCATTCAATTCAACGACATTCTCTTGATAATCTTTGTATTTATTACAAATTGTCAATAAGCAAACTTATTAAAAACGAAGTGTTTTATTGACACTTCGTATGCAGAAGAGGCTTAATAAATTCGTAGAAATCAAAATAAAATCTGACATATCACAATATGTTCAGACATTTATCCACAGCAGCAATTCCAACATGCATAAAAACAGTAGCAGTAATAGGAGGAGGAAACGTGGGAACTGGCATCGCCCAAGCGGCCGCTCAAAATGCCCGGCAAGTCGTCTTGGTCGAATTAAACCAACGATCATTAAATAAAGCCGAAGAAACCATTTACGATTCACTAAAATCCGAAGCCGAGAAAATTTACGAAGGCAACGAGAGAAATATCGAAAAATATGTTCTGAATACAACCCGATTTATCACAGGTAAACGCGCCTTCCAAAAGTACCTAAACTTACATTTACGAGATAACATACAAGTACTCGGTGTTAAAGGGTATATAGAAGAGGGTAGGGAGGGATTAGGTAGGCTTGGAGGAGGTATGGAGGAGTCGGATAAGGTAGAAGGGAGTACGTAGGGTTGAGGACGGTAGAAGAAGGTAGAAGGGAGAATGTAGAGATAGAGCACGGTCGGTAGGAGTAGAAGACGGTAGAAGTAGCTAGGGAGAGGAAGATAAAGAGGGCAGGTAGAGGCAGGAAAGGTAGATGGTAGTATAAAATAGTTACCGATCATTTATCACCAAAATTCAGGCACCACGGACCATTCGGAAGCAGTTAAAGATACGGACTTGATCATAGAAGCTATACCGGAGGATATAGACGAGAAAATTCGACTGTTCAAGCGTTTAAACGCGCTCGCGCCGCCGGAAACGATATTCGCGACGACCACCGACTCGCTTTCGATCCGAAAACTGGCCGAGAAATCGTCGAGAATCGAACGGTTCGTGGGATTGCATTTCTTTCATCCGGCGGCTTCTTCCAAGCTCGTGGAAATCGTGAAAAATTATTGGACGAGCAGGGAAACGTTGGAAAATGTATCGAACTGGTGCAGAACTCTCGGCAAGTACTTTATATTGTCCTGCGACTGCAGTATGTACCTCACCAAATGTAGCTTGGTAGATGAAAACTGCTGTAGATGCGCGAACGGGGAAGAAAGATGAAGTTGAAGAAAAATGGAGTCTTTCATCACCACCTGAGAACTGGCCGGAATTTTGTTTCAAATAGTAGTAGTCAATTTTCAAATGGTTCAAAATGATTCTGGACAATTCTAAGTGATTTTGAACAGTTCTAAATAGTCAATTCAAAAATGGGTCAAATAGTTAAAATTGAGTACATAGTAGACTTAACTTCTTAAAAATTTCAACCACCAAGCTACATATGCTGAGGTACAAGTTATTCCAAGAATAATCAAGGTATAGCGAATTTCCCAAATATTGCCGATGAAATTATACGAAATTATATAGATAAATAATGCGATTTTTTTAGGCAAGACTACGGTGGTTTGTAACGATTCTCCGGGTTTCATCGTCAACAGATTGCTACTCACGTACATCACGGAAGCGATCAGGATGATGGAGAGGGAAGAGGCCACGCGGAAAGACATCGATAAGGCCATGCGTTCGATAATGGGCGAGAATTTGGGACCATTCGAGATGGCCGATCAGATTGGACACGATACTATTACGAAATTGGTAATTATTTAATATGTTATAAGTTATAACGTATAATAACACTAGTTTACAGGTTATACACTTTTTTTAGTACACGGCATAAATCAACTTTTTTTATATATTTTGGCGGGTTCTAGACAATTATAAATGGTTCTACGCAGTTCTGGAGCGTTTAAATGGTTCTAGGCAGTTCGAAATGGTTCTGAAGCGTTCTAATGCCCGGTTTTTCGACTCTGCGATAACTGAAATTTAACTCTAACTTTTCAATAAGCTCTAGTTAACCTTCGGAATCGGGTTTCTTGGCTCGAAATCCAAGTTTATGTATGCAACAACTATAACGTTAACCCCTCCTAATTCAGTTATCTTCTCAATAGTAAGCGATAGTTAAACGTAACAGGTCGAGAAACCAGGCAAAAATGATTCTGGAACGTTCTAAATAGTTCTAGACAGTTCTAAATTGTTCTGGAGCGTTCTTAATGGTTCTGGAACGTTTTAAATTGTTCTGGAGCGTTCTAAATATTTCCAGACAGATTTAAATGGTTCTGGAACGTTCTAAATTGTTCTGGAGCGTTCTAAATATTTCTAGACAGATTTAAATGGTTCTGAAGCATTCTAAATCGTTCTAGAAAGTTCTAAACGATTCTGGAGAGTTGTAGATGGTTTGGATTGTTGGACTTTAATACGCGAAACCGACCCAAATCCACTTCCATTATCCTAAGTTCTTTGCACAAAACCTTGTAAACTAGTGTAATTACACTAAGTCGTTTAGGTTGAAGCTTGGAGATATCGAGAACCGGAAAATATGATATTCCAACCGTGTTCCTCGCAAAAATCGTTGATAGAAAAGGGCAAGTTGGGCGTAAAAAGCGGCGAAGGATATTACAAGTACGACGATTTGAGTTATTGGGTGAGAAATTTTTCGCGCAAGTATAAGAACAAGAAAGACTGGACGAAGCAGTATCAAATTTGGAAGAAGCACATCGAAGAAAATTGATAAAAATTTTAACGTTTTATGAATTTGATGACTAAAGGGTGTTCCAATCAAAAGTAGCCCCCTTTAATCAGCTTATAACTTTTATAAGTTTGATTAATATGTGTCGAAAAAAAGGGGATTTTGAAAAAACTCCTTGTACAAGTGATACAAAATTTCTGTATCACTGTAACAAAACATAACAAAATAAAACATATCTGCAAAAACAGCATGTTTTTATGATTAGGTTTTCAAAAGTGATAAGCTGATTAAATGGGCAACTTTTCATTGAGACACCCTGTAATTGTATTTCATTTTGTAGCTTATTTATTTGTCTTTTGTATTTTTTGTATTGTACTTTAATAAAAATAGATGGATTCAATTATTTTACGTTTATTGATCTTTGAAGTTGCTGTAAAAGAAAAATATTATATCAACAAATTTTGTCAATAGCAGTAGGCTGTGTCCTTCGGTCTGTTGTAAAGAAAATGGAAAACATCAATGTAGATAATTATTTGTGAAAAGCACACAATAAAAAATGGTCGTATGTGTTCAATTAAATGCCTACCTGAATCCTATTTCTTACACCTTTTTAGAAATATTGTAATGATATCCTCTCGACTGGGATGCATAGCTATTTTTACTCATTTGCACAAATCCTTACCTTTTAAAATAGAGCTGTTCAAACCACCAAAATACAATCCCACTTACCGACTATATCTCCATTTTGTCTAATTTTTGCCTTTTATCAGGCCTCTCTTCTGCTTCGAAAACTTTCAAACGGACTCCAAGAATTTCGGCACCGTGTAATTTCTGAAACACAAATATTTGTTCAAATGTACAATTCTCTTTATACAGGGTGTCCCGCGTAAGAACCGACACAAAGCAGTCACGTGTGGAGGAACCTAAAATATGTTGTTTAACACAATTTTACGTAATACAGCCAATTTTTGAATTACCGATTATTTTAAATAACATTGATAGTGTAAGAGGATAAGGTGAAAAGTCTCGGCCTGACTATGATTATTATTGCCTTATTTTTCTATATAATCTTCAAGCGTTTTTAAGCGTTCAATAAATAATCCTCTCGACTTCATTCAAGCCGAGTAGTTTTCATCTCACCCTCGTACATGCCTTTATTTTTTAGCGATTTTATCAAAACGACCAAGAATTTTAAAAAACAAAGAATAAAAAATGTTTTAAAATGAAATTACGTATGAAATGAACTAATAATTTTTTAAATCATCCATCAGGTATAAAAATCTGTAAGATTTTAAGGAACTATCATCTCTGATGAACCTTTAAAATAAATCAATTGATCTCTCCTAACTATCAATTAAAACTCTTGGTACACTCATATAACTTATACCAAATTTAGTTGTTTAAAGTTTGAGTATTACCGAGATATTTTTTTATATTTATAACTCCCCTTTGAAGGCCTATAACTTCTCAGGAATGTATCAAGTTTCTATCAAGTTAAGTTAGATTAAAATTGATAAACTCTTATGCGAGACACCCTGTAATTAACGACATTTACCTTAATGGCAGCTTCTGCGGATTCTTTCGATGCGTATTTTGCGTAACCGCAATTCCTGTTATGCAGCATATAAATATCAATTAAACCGCCGAATCTGCAGAAAACGTCCTTCAATACTGAAGGGGGAAGTACTTGAGGGAAGCAAATAACGAAACATCTAAAACATAATGAACGTCCTTAAGCACATTCAGGGTGGCACATTAGTATGGAAAAGCTCAATATATCTGTTATTGTAGAAGATATTAAAAAACTTTATTACAAAAGTTGTAGATCTTTTTAAGCTGAATATTTTAAAATTAGTTACACTTATAGAGAGTGTCCCGTATATGTAAGATTTTTTTTTGTATTAAACATCCACTATACCTCGCTTCAGTCGGCGTCTCTGTATTAAGTATCGGCTTAGGATCAGGCAAAGGAACACTACAATAATTTTCGTTGTTTTTCAGGTCTCCTTTCGTTTGAAGTAGATCTTAAAAAAAGGAAAGAATATTAAAATTATTGTTAAGACGCGGGGATACATATCAAGTAGCTAAAGCAAGTTACTAAATCAAGTAACTAAAATTTACTTACTCGTATGGTTTGGGCAAATTGATTTAGTAACTTGTACAAGTACCTAATTTAGTAAACTACTAAATCGAGTTGTCCACACTATACAAGTAACTAAATTTTAGTTACAAAATTGAGAACAAAATAACAGTTGTTAGTTGTTAAGGCGCGAGGACATGTATCAAGTAGCTAAAGCAAGTTACTAAATCAAGTAACTAAAATTTAGTTACTTGTATGGTTTGGGCAATTTGATTTAGTAACTTGCGCAAGGACCTACTGTAGTAAACTACTAAATCAAGTTGTCCACACCATACAAGTAACTAAATTTAGTTACTTGATTTATGCCCGGTTTCTCGACTCTGCGATAACTATAAGTTAACCTTTCAATAAGTTAACTTTTCAATAAACTCCAGTTAACCTTCGGAATCGGGTTTCTCGACTCGAAATCCAAGTTTAAGTATGCAACAACTATAACATTAACCCCTCCCAGTTCAGTTAAGTTCTCAATAGTAAGCGATAGTTAAACGCGAAAGGTAGAAACCGGGCATTAGTAACTACGTGTCTCCACACCTTTTGAGTAAGAAATTTGCGACGACACATTAGTACAGCTTACCGGGCGTCAAACCGGCCGCTTTCAGCAACGAAGTGGCTTGCGCTATAGTTTCGGCCAATTGCAACAAATCGGATTTACTGGAATTACCGACGGTGCCCTGTTCCCCGATGGAAGCGGCCGATCTCTTAACGGGCACGTTATTGCCGGTGGCGCTTCGCTGTTGGTTCTCCATTTTAACGATCAACCGTTGCCCGGGCGGGTACTCGAATCCGTGGAACTTCTCGACGGCGTACATCGCCCATTCCGAGTTCGTGTAAACCACTTCGAACGTGCTATTGGGTCCTCGATGTCTGTTGTCCATGTCGTATCTAATTTGACAGTAATCCAAACCTGACAATGGAGAGGAGTACGATGTGAGATATGCGGTTTTTAACCAGATGTATGAATAGAAATAAGTCATTAGAACTCGAAGCAGTTTACAGTTGCTGAAAATATTCAATATTTTAGGAAATATAGCCCATTTGATATAGCACAATTAAATCACAAAACGAACGAGTTACATTAGTGGCATAAGAATTCGAAAAAAAATGTTCGAAAGAATAGAAGAAACGAACAAATTTGAAATGTAACATCAAATGACAGTCGACATATCTGGGTTATGTTATTGTAATTTATTGTTTTAAGTGTCTTGGGCCAAAAATTAACACTTTTTTAAAATACAATGAATCATTTTCACAAAACGGCATGAATCAGGTTTTAACTACCTTCGGATGCGACATTAAAATTAAACATTAGATTAGACATTAGCAAATTAAAAATTTCACCAATAACTTCATAAGAATACCTAGTTTTACCTACTCCTATTCTCCTACTATATTCTTTAGTACAGTGGTTTAGTACCATGTAATTTTATGCGAACTCCACTTACTTGGTATGAGATCGAACAACTTCCACATTTGGTCTTGGTTGATGCCGGGACTCGCGACGACTGATAGTTTGTAAGATCCGTCCTCTTTGAAGTTGGGCGTGAGTTTCGTACCGATATCGTTAGAGTGTTGTTGCGCCGGTGGCATTCTGTATGGCGGCTCCGGAGGCATCGAGAACGAATTTCTATAATAGTTATTGTAATCGTCTAGAGCGGGCCTTTTGGGTTCGGCGAATTTGGGCTTGTATTTCCTATCGCAGTTTTCAAACGCTATAGCTGCATCGTAAAACCTAAAATTAAATAACAATCATAGCACATCATTTAGAATTGTCTAGAAACATTTAGAACTGTCTAAATCTATCTAGAACGCTCCAGAACCATTTAGACCGCTTCAAAATCATTTAGAACTGTCTAGAACCATTCTGAACGCTCCTAAATCGTTTAGAACCATTTAGAATACTCCAGAAACATTTAGAACAGGCTAGAACCATTTCAAACGCTCCAAAATGGTTTGGAACCATTTAGAATGCTCCAGAAACATTTAGAACTGTTTAGAACCATTTACAACGCTCCAGGACCATTTAGAAATGTCTATTGAAATGTCTATTAGAAATGTCCATTTAGAAATGTCTACCATTTAGAACGGTCCAGTAACATTTAGAACTATGTAGAACTATCCGTTGAATAAAATCGACTCACTTGTAATATTTAACATAGGCGAATCCTTTGCTTTCTTTCGTTTCTTTGTTCTTCAATATGCTGATGTAAGCGAGGTTGCCAAACTGTTTGAAATAATCGTAGAGTTCGTTTTCATCGGTCGTTTTGGACACCATTATGAATAACCTTTTGACATGATCCTCATCGTGATCATCTCGACCGGAACCCTGGTCTCGGCTAAAGCAAACAGAAGGAATACATGGAATTATTAATAAAATAATTATTATTACTAAATACTTATACCTTGATGCGATCAGAACTTTGATGGTCCTTCCGCCGAGGTATTTGCCTTTCATTTCCTCCAGAGCCCTAGCTGCTTCGGACGTTTTGGAGTATCGAACATAATACACACCTGGAATTATTCAAATATATTGGAAGTTTGGTGCGTTAATCGCGGCGCAACCTTTATTTTCGCCTGTTTGACGATCCCTAACGACTTTAATGTCTAAAATGTGTCCAAATTCTTTAAATTCATGCCTAAGTTCTTCTTCTTTCAAATGCTTAGGCCCAACGATGAACAACCGAGAATAAGGCACTTCTTCATCAGCCATGGAATCTCTCCTTCTATCGTTCATTGTGAATCTGAAAGTTGTTCTATTTTATTCAATTACTCTCTTACTACAATTTTTTTCATGTATCGTTTAGATACTTTTGTTTCTTTATTATAAATTGTTTATGCTTTATAGGAAATATTATAGTACATTACACAATCGTTATGACTTTCTCCAAACTGGTTTTGGTGTATTACACAATGATTACTGTAAAATTATTATAAACTACAATATTGATACAAAAATTCCAAATCTACCACCTAATTATTCAATAAAAAGGCTTCAAAATATTACTATAACTAAATGAATGGAACCGTTTTGTAAGATGAATTCGAAATTTTTAAATGTTATTGTTTGATTTTATAATGAAAATTGGACGAAACTGTAAAATGTTTTGCCAGTATACTTATTTAGATGTGCGCGATTTTTAGTTGAAATAACGTGAATTAATTACCTGGGTCAATGCAGAAAAATAATCGGCTTTACGATAAATTTAAAAATAATACTAATGCTTACTGCGAGCTTAAAAAAGGTGCCGAAAACGATTTATAAACACAAACTTGATACTCCTTTCACTATTGCCTAATGCCAATCGCCAATCACATCACCAACAGTTTTCCGTCTTTCCGTCAGATCGCTCGACTGACAACTGTCAGCATTTATGTCAAAAAAAGTAAGTCAACAAAGGAACTGACATACCACCAGGATGAGACCTGCTTTTAAGAGTTACTAGAAAAAAAGGAGAAGTGACATTAGTAAATGTCCGTATTTCCAATAATATTTCAAAAATATTCCTTTTTTAATATTTTTAATAATAAACTGTTGCATTAAAAATAGTGTTTTTAGCTTCACCAGCCCACCACACTATAAATATGTGAAGCCCAATAACTAGAGTAGACGAGGCAAAAATAATTTGGTGAAAAAGAAGAAGAAGACAGGAATCTGTAAAATTTATCAAGTAGGATTAGAATTTTGCAAATAGGTGTCGAATCGGGTTTCTGATTTTTTTTGTAATATACGGGATGTAAAAGAAAAAGGGGGCAACGACACGCGGTATTCCCAAGCGGTCACCCATCCAAGTACTAACCGCGCCCAATAATGCTTAGCTGCAGTGATCGGACGAGAACTGGCGTATTCATTGTGGTATGGCCGTTGCCTGTAAATAAAGTGGTAATCGTTGATGATAAAACAGTTATTTCAATAATACAATAAATAAGAAAAATTAAAAAAAAAGGGGGGCAACGACACGCGGTATTCCCAAGCGGTCACCCATCCAAGTACTAACCGCGCCCAATAATGCTTAGCTGCAGTGATCGGACGAGAACTGGCGTATTCATTGTGGTATGGCCGTTGCCTGTAAATAATGTGGCAATCATTGAAGATAAAACAATTATTTCAATAATACAATAAATTAGAAAAATCAAAAAAAAAGGGGGCAACGACACGCGGTATTCCCAAGCGGTCACCCATCCAAGTACTAACCGCGCCCAATAATGCTTAGCTGCAGTGATCGGACGAGAACTGGCGTATTCATTGTGGTATGGCCGTTGCCTGTAATAATTGTGGCAATCATTGAAGATAAAACATTTATTTCAATAATACAATAAATTAGAAAAATCAAAAAAAAAGGGGGGCAACGACACGCGGTATTCCCAAGCGGTCACCCATCCAAGTACTAACCGCGCCCAATAATGCTTAGCTGCAGTGATCGGACGAGAACTGGCGTATTCATTGTGGTATGGCCGTTGCCTGTAATAATTGTGGCAATCGTTGCATATAAAAGAATGTTATTACCATAAAATAATAAATAAGAAAAATTAACTATTTTTTTTAACTAACTAATTCTATTAACTATGTTCTTATTAAGAATTTTTTAAGTGAGCGTTTATTATTTTTTACGAGTAAAACGAATTTTTCTGTTGAGCCTTAAATTCACATCCTTTTAAAAAAATTCGAGAAGAATCACAAAGAAACATTAATGATATTATATCTAGTATACCTCAAGTATACATTAGTAAGTTCATAAACAATTTCGATAAGCCAAAAAATGTCGAAACATATCGCTCACATTCAACGCAAATTCACTAACAAAATTCATGTTAAACGCGATAATTATGTTAAAAGGAACATTCCGTATTTAAACAACCTTAAATTTGTTGATTAAACAATTCACACACGCCGCAGTTCGAGCAAGTATACTTCTATACCTTTTCGAATAAACAACCCTGTTTTTCGTAATAATAAACGGGGCAGCTGTCGATTCCAATTAGTATCGATATCGAGACGTAGAAAAGAACCTGACGAGTTAGTAATTTCGAATTTTTGGATCCCCACATGACCCACGACCATCTGTTCCAGCGCATTATAATAATTGCGATCGGTGTAGTCTAGTGAAGAGTGCATTTAGTTAGTTTTCTACCAATAGTGCTGCTGGTCATTGGTTTATTTGAACCAAACATGCGTTTGTGGTGTTTTGCTGGAATTATTATAGGTATTCTGGCCGGAACGTATAAAGGAATGCCCCTGACGAAGTTGGGTAAAGGTAAGCAACATTTTTGTTAATTTTTTAAATAGTCACGTAATTTTCTATCGTGGAATATTCACGTATTTGTTGGTACTAAGGTGATTAATACAAAAATGTAATTTTATTCGATAAAAATCATTAAAAAGACTCGAAAAACAAGCATGAATTAACTTAAAGGATGATTGAAAATGCATTTAAAGGAGTTTTAAAACTTGGTAGTTCAAAAAAACCACCAGTCTAATATGGACCTCTCTTCTGGACCTCAATTAAAGGATCCTCTGTAGTTTCCCCGATGATACGAGCTCATTACTTCTACCAGACGTTACCAATATTTGAACTATGCTTCAGCCCCAAAATCATCGAATTGAGGTAATTAATTACAATTTGTATTTTTTTGCAGATCTACAAATGAAATTAGTGCATCACGCTAATACCCCGTTTATAGACTACAAATACATAACCAAGACGATTTTACCATCAGAGGATAATTGGTGGAAAAGGGGAACCCATCATTTTTACGCCGATGAGACTGCTAAAGTTGTACGTGCTCGTTAATAAATGACAAAACCGTTTTTGAACACAATATGAGTTATTTCGCCAAATGTAAAAATTTTAGTCGAAAAAAAAGTATTAGACGAATGTACTTAGCCAGTTTGAAATAAAGTAAGTTTTTTAAGCATATAATTTATTTATACTACTGTGACAAAAGTGTACCAGGAAATTTGAAATAAAACGCAAAATTCCTAATCTTCGTTAATGTTCCTTGATGAGTTTACTTTAAAATATGCTCCTTTTGAAGCAATCCATATAATCAGACGCCTGTTACAATCATCGAAGCATTTTTATAGGCCCTTTTTGGTACAGCTTTTAGCTCATCTGCGAATTTTCTTTAGCATTTGTGGAGTCAAGACGGGTTCCCCGAAGTGCCTTGCAAAATTGGCAGAGCACTACTGAGATGAACTGATTAAATCAGCTGCTCAACCAAACTGATTGAGAAATCTCTTTAATTTTTTTGCGTGCTAATTGGGAACAGTCTTGCCCACATACAGAAACTTGAAATAGTCAAAAATATTAAATGTAGGTAATTTCAATCAGAATTTCCGTGTACTTTTTTGTCGGAAGGTAATTAGGATCATCACAGTAATACGGAAACAAGAATAAAATGCTGTCCAAAGGATATATTTATTTTTAATAGAAAAATCCAAGCACTCAGTATATTGCACATACCACCGAGTCCGAAACAAGTTAAACTCAAGTGGTCGATTAGAAACGCATAAGTATAGAACGAGAAAAATAAATAAAGTGTCAGCTCATTACCCATTATCAATTCGCAAATCAATCGAACGGAAAATTTAATTCGGTTTTTCGACATGCCCTGAATGCCTTTTAAATTTTTGTAGAAACCAAAAGGTTCAAAAAATTACCAGCTGGATATAATTGAAATAATATTAGTGCCAATAAACATCTACAGGGTAATTCAATTTGATATCTGGTACAGTTATGGTACACTAAATTATTACAGTACCTACATGAAATATACATATAATTAATTTTTATTGTAAAATTGAAAGAGTTTCGTTAATTCTCAGATTACAGAAATTAAACAAAATTATAACACGAATATTTGTGAATGATTGGGAGGTAATCCGACACTCAAACAAGCATCTTTGAGCTTTATTTTAAAATATTAACAGTTTAAATATCTACAATAACAACAAGGCCAAAGAAGGCCCAAAGTTTTTTTAAATTACGGCGAAATATATTTTAGACGGTATAGAGATACATTTTTGGAAGTTGGAAGTGTATATTTCGCCATATTTATCCAATACATGAATTAGAAATCGGGACCTGGATATAAATTAAAAAGTGTTTGCGATAAACTAAAAGCGCTTTAAATAGAAAGGCTTTGTAAAAACCTTTTCCTGGAAGTTTTGAAAAATGGTCCATAATAAAAACAATATAGGAGTCATGGGATATTTTTAAAATTTCGCAACAAAACCAATTTTATCAATATCCCATAATAGTAGTTCAAATGTTATTTTCCATTGGTCAATAAACGATACAGAAGGTCTCAAAAATTCGATAAGCAAAAATTTATTCGGAGAAACCTTCTGCACTCTACAATTTTCCATAATATAAACGAAATTTTATTGACCGAAATTTTAATACTTTAGTGGCTTATTTATTAACCAATAGGTAGTTTATTATACCTACGCTTTCTTATCAGAACGAATCCTTTTTAAATTATTTATTTACACTTTTATTTACAATCCCATGAAACAGAGCAACTTCGTTAAAATCATAACAACTATTGTGTAAACATATTTACAAATATTCGAACAATCAACAACAAATGTTTAACAGTAATAATATCAATTAGAATTCAACAAAATTTCTGATTGATGTATCTAACACAAGAAGATTATTGCTGTGTTCATAGATATGTAATATCTTCGCAAAAAAACGAAAATCCCGATTATTTAGTTAATTTAAATTATTCACTAATAGACAAATTATGACAACGTAAACGCACCCTGTATATTCTGGCTAGTTGATGTAGCAATATTAATACTGTGCAGTTTATTTCTACGCAAAATTTGATTAAGTAACATGTAATTAAAACTAGGATATTAGAAGATTTAAATATTACAGTATACAGGGCACATTCCAGAGCACTTTTAATACAAATAATTAATAAATATTTATGTTAAGACATAATTTCAAATTGAAATACTATGAGGTAGGAATTATTGGCTTTAGATTATATACAGGGTGTTTTTTATATTAAAATGGGTCTAAGAATCACCCCCTTAAATATTAGCTTGTCATTATGGAACACCCTGTATAGGTCCTCCCTGTATAGTAGAAAAACCTGCAACTTTGTGCTTTACTAGTAAATCCAGCATATCAGTTTGTATAACTATTATTGAATATAACAATCATTGGCCAATTCCTACACACTGTGCTTTCTAGTATTGTTCTAAAATTCTGGAATATGATTCTTCAGGTCATTTTCTGAAGTTCTAACTGCTTTATTTTAAAAATACATGTAAGGTAACGTTTCTAATGTAGGTACTCTTTAATAGTGCAGAAACTTTAAATGTATTTCTCTGTAAAATAGAGCAATTAAGGCAATAGTATTATTGACATTTCCTTCATAAAGTAACCTGATGAGTTATTCAGAAAAATTCACTTATGTTCTCAACATAAATAGGCAAAAAATACAATTATTTATAAGATACAAAGCGAGTGATGTTTCGAACTCGACTAAAAAAACAGCTAAATCAAACCAATAATTTTGATTGAAATTGATTGATCTGCATTTTAATTTATATCCTTTTATTGTGGAAATACAAAACGGAACTAATGAAAACTTACCCAAAATAGGAAGATTTCGTTATTTCCCAAATTTTTCGAATCGAATTGAAATGATTCCATCCTGTAATATCTAGCTAACGTTATAAAAGTATTTGCAAGTACGCTGCCTAAGGATTTATATGAATAAAATTTATTTAAGGAATGTTCCTTTTAATGTACATATCTAAAAATGACTTTGTGAAATTTGGTCATTATTGTTATGTAATTAATTATTGACAAATATACTTTTTAAAAGTATCGCGTGAAATATCTAAAGAACTTTTACGAGTTTATTTATTTTTATACATTATTAAAAACGGCTTAATTCTAGCGGTTCTTTTTATGTACAAATCTCGCGAAAAGTTGTTTTAATTTAAAACAGTGTTTTCCATATGGCTTTATTTTGCACTAGTTATTTTATTTAAAGCTTAGAGAACGAAATAAAAACAATTTTGAAATGAAACTATTATTTCAATGCAGCGGTTAAGTAGTTAAATTCGTGCAAAATGTACAAATTACGCCATATTTTGTGTCATTGCAATTTTGAAAATTATTAGCACAACTTCTTGGATAATACCCAACCATTACGAATTAGCCCAGACAAAATTGAACTTCGCATTCGCATCATTATACAAGAAGTCAATTTCCAACAAATTACTAAATGTTACACTTAATTTTATAAATTTTAAACAACTCTAAATGTAGAGCAACATTTACTTGTTACATACATAGTTCCATATTTTTGATTTATACCTTACTTACACGTTTTCTGCCGTTAAGTTCGTTTTTCAAAAATATACAAAAATTAAATACAAATTAATTATTCATAACGCTAATACTAATATCTAATAATTGCAAAGGCTCCCGATCAAATACCTTTATGATTTTTAAATACAAGACTATCTACATTAAAGTCTGAAATTGATTTGAAAATGTTTTTAATTATAGTGCGTATAGATTTAGTAAAACATAATATCGGATGTCCCATTATATTTACCCATAAATTGTTAAAGTAGAGAGAACATATGATGGGACACGCGGTAATAATTGTGCAAAACTAATGGATATTGATATATTGTAAAACTATTCGTTGAATTAAATAGAAATATAAGGTAGGTATGTCGATTATATTTTTTCCAAATCAATTTCGTTTAAAAATTTCAACGTTTCCTTTCCTTATCACTCCGATGCAAACTTATATAATTACCTATTATTTGAATGACTATCACAGATGCGAAAGTTTAGAAAATATAACACCTACAACAGTACCTACTAATAGAATAAATTTTAAAATTTTCGAAAAGTGTTGTATTAAAATAACGCTTGAAAATGTTCGTATATCTACTTGTCTAAATGTGGAATTTAGTATGAATAAAACAATTTTAATAAAGTACTATCTAACATTAAAAAACTCTATTGGCTGTAGGTATCAATAAAACATGTAAATTTTTAAACAACTAAAAATAACTCGTTGTAATCTATACTTTTAATAATTATGAAAGATCACAATGTCATAGAAACAGACCTATACCCAAATTTTATAGTTTTTTAAATTAAAATTAGGTGAAAATACAGGGTGTCGTGCATAAGAACCTACTCGGAGAGCACTTATGCACGGCCCCTTGTCCCTATCAATTAATCACCCAATTTAAATATTTTTCCTCAATATGCATTCGAAAAATTTATCTGTTTCTATTGTGTCACACTAGTCGATGTTTTAATTAATTTAGTCTAAGTTATACCATCTCGATCAGCATCCACAACAACCCAAAGAAAATTCCAATAATACCTAAGTATAATGATGAAATAGTAAGTAAGTAATTTCCATTAACTTTTCAAATTCACGTGCATCGTAAATCCGGAGATAACAATAATAAGACATAATAAATGGCTGTGATCCTTGAAAGATAAGCAATGTTTAAAGGTTAAGTGAAAATCAGTAGCGTAATAAGATTTTTTTTGTTCGATTTGTATCGTAAATTGCTTTAATTCGGAAGATTTTAGTAGAAAATATTACGCTCTATTCGTGACGTAAGAAGCAACTTCTAACGTTAAAATTCTACTCGACTGCGCCATATTTAATAAACATACGCATTAACTTTTCAAATTGTAAAAATTAATCGAATATAATTCATATGAGGTTTCGATTAGTTGAATTTTAATTTGTTGCATAAAATTGAACTACAGTAAACGTTATTAATTCGTGTTATTATATTTATTTTTGCGTGTTTCGATCCATCGCAAACTCCTAAACTCGCCGCAGTTTTCGATTAAAATAAAAGAAACCGCGAAATTTGTTCTAAAGCGATTCAAATGAGCACCTCGTCCGCGAAATTCCGGCGCTTTCATACGGGCACCGGACTCGAAGCTGTCTTTTTTTCCTTTTTCTTGCTTACGAACGTTTCGGTCGTGCATTTCGGACCCTCGTCAGGGCTGTAGGACCAGCGGACCTTCTCCTTCACGGGCTTCTCGTCCGGCGTTTTGCTTTTACGAGTTTTCAAAAACTCGGTGGCCTTTTGTCACTGAATCTCGCAGAACGGCAGCTTCTGGCTTTCTTTGGTGTCCGAATCGGCGTTGCTCAGCTCGTCCCCTTTCGGGCTGCCCGCTGTACTCGTGCCTCCCTGGTTCCCACTGAAACACCAAACATAGCTAATTACCTACAAAATTTTTAAATGGTACCCCGTGAAAATAGCCCAAAGACAAAATCGCCCAAGATAAAATAGCCCAAAGACAAAATCACCCAAGATAAAACAGCCCAAAGGCAAAATATCATAGGACAAAATAGCCCAAAGGCAAATTCGCCCGACATTGAATAGCCTCGACAAAACGAGATTAGGAGAAAAAAACATATCACAAATAATGAATTTTTCGAGCTATTTTTAGGACAACCAGTCCTTATTTTACACAGACTCTACAGATTTTTACGCTACAGGTTTTTACACTACAGATAAAAACCATCTACAGACACTAACATAATGTGGGACCTTATTTAATTTTTTTAATATTTCTTGGATTAATTTTTTGGAATAAAGACAATTTCCGGCGATTTTGTCTTTGGTCTGTTTTATCTTGGACTATTTTGTCTTGAGATGTTTTATCTTGGGCTATTTTGTCTTGGGTTATTTTGTCTTTAGGCAATTTAATCGGGGTGCGTTTTTAAATACCATCTAAGAACCTTACTAAACTCTTCAAATAGTTAAGAAAACTCTTCAATAGAAGCTGACTAACGTTTTATACTAACACTAAGCTGTACTAGCTAGTAGCATAAGCTGTACTAGCGACTGGTATAAGCTTCTAAACATATTCCCTCTCAAGTATATTCAAGATTTTCAAATTAATAGGAATCTCCACATTTTTCCTAGAGCACACTATTTTAAATGATGCTTAATAATTACCTAATGGACCCAGGGGGGCACATTGATTGTCATCTAAGCGCCAAGGTGGACACCATAGGAGGTCGGGATGGTTTGTTTTCTAAAATACGCTCAATCTCCGCTACCATATTAGTATTCAATTTTGGAATCAGCTGAAAAAAAAAAGAAATAAAGTTGGTATTATATACAACTGTCAATATTCCCACATCGCACAATATGCCAAAGTGCAATAAATAACTTCAAAATTCCTCGTCGAATATTTTAAAGCAATGGAACAGTCCGGCCACAGACGGAAGGTGAAAACTATAATAATACCCCGAGGTGCGTTTGACGTCAACGATACTATAGTCCTCAAAGTGCCTCAAAGAAGCTTTTCGCCGTTTAATGAGCGAAGATCGGCGTCGCCTGAAGCAGCGTTTAGAGCCAGTTATTTTTACAACGATCCTCCGCTGCCGCGATCTATAAACGAGCGCTTGGAGAAGGCCTATTACGAAGGCTTCCAAAACGGACAGAGGCTCGTCCACAGCGCGCCTTTAGATCAGCCCGTGGATGTCACGCGTCCGGACGAACACAAAACCAGAAGCCCCAGAAGAAGACATTGCTATGTGTCGCCAGTCAGAGCAGCGGGGATCGTGAAGAATGAGTACCAGGAGCAAGTTCGAAGGAAGCTCGAAGATCGCATGATGTACTTTCCGACGCCCAGCGAAGGATACGATCCGGCCGTAATCGATAAATATAAACGAGCGCTGTTGAGGAAGACGATTAACAACGAAGATAGCGAAGTTGACGAGCAATTGTACTACCCGAAAAGTCAAACTTGGTGAGGTGGAGAATATCGAGGTTAAAGTTTGGTTAGGGTATGGAAAATGTAGTTATGTCTAGGTGGTATGGTCGTGTAAATAAAATGTATTGTTTACCTGCAACGATTGTATACTATCGTACAGCTGATCGACGGAACTTGCGCCTAACAACAAACATTGGACAGACTCGTTTTTCAAGCACCATGCTACGGCCAGCTGCTGCAGAGAGCATCCTAATTTCTCGGCCAGCGTGTTGAGCTCCCTGATCTTCTCGGCCTGCCTTCTCGATTCGTCGGGCTGGAGTCGATCCTTCATCCAACCATAACTGGGACACTGGAAAAAAGTTTATCGTAGAATTGGAATTGCGGAAATTTGGTTTTGGCAGGTCACACGGTTCCTTACCTCTTTATTTGCAGCCGTTTCGTCTTCCGTCCACGAAAAGGAACTATATTTATTCTTAAAACTGGCACGGGAAAATAATTGTACGCTACCGCCGCCACCGCTGCCGCTTCCATCGTCTCGACTTTGGGTGAACCCCATAGAAATTGGGGACCAAGCCATCAAACCTACAACGAATTTAACCACCATTTATTTAATTGTTTAAACCGACTTTAGAACGGTTTAATAGTCGAATCGAATGGCTTACCGACACCAATTTTATTGTACAGTTCGGGCATGTAAAGCTCGGTTTTCTCTCTACAGAACATGTGGTACTCGGTTTGCTCGACGATGGGCGTCACGCAGTTAAACTGCCTGCAGTTTGTGTAGGCTTCCATGATTTCCACGGGCGACCAGCGTGCTGTTCCCCAATACATGGCCCAACCTTGGCATATGACGTAGTGCATAGCCCTCACAACCTCTGAAATAAAAAAATAATGAATTAAATAATACTAGTTTATAAATTCCACACTTTTTTTAGTGCATAAAGTCTGCATTCTGAAGTCCTAAATGGGTCTAAATTATTCTCGAGCGTTCTGTAAGAATCTGGAGTGTTTTAAATTATTCTGAAGCGTTCTAAATGGTTCTAGACAGTTCTAAATGATTGTGGAGCGTCCTAAATGGGTGTAAATTATTCTGGAGCGTTCTAAATGAATCTGGAGCGTTCTAAATTATTCTGCAGCGTTCTAAATTATTCTGGAGCGTTTCTATGAAGCGTTTCTTATGAAGCGTTTAAAATTTTTAAATTATTCTGCAGCATTCTAAATGGTTCTAGACAGTTCTAAATGATTATGGAGCGTTCTAAATGTTTCTGGAGCCATCTAAATAATTCTAGACAGTTCTAAATGTTTCTGGAGCCATCTAAATAATTCTAGACAGTTCTAAATGATTCTGGAGCGTTGTAAATGGTTCTAGACAGTTCTGAATGATTCTTGAGTGTTCTAAATGGATCTAGAGAATTATAAATGATTGTAGAGTTCAGTTGATTCAGTTCTAAACGATTCTGAACCAACAATTTTAAAAAATGTTTCAAATTCGCCCTAATTTAATTTTAACCTCATCGAAAAATTATATATCGATTCTCCTTCATTTCATCTTCGACTATTCGACAATAGAAAAATCCTTTCGCAAATGTCTCCGAAATAAGTAGATTCGTTCCGTCATTTCGGAAAATAAAGCTAGTTTCAATGGGGCTTTCCGAGAGGAATTTTTCCAATACTTCATAAGAGAACGAGCAAAATATAAAACACAATAAGAATGAGGCGTTCGCTCGGCTTGAAGCCGCCGCGGCGAAATGAAATATTCCCGGCAATTTTGCCAAGCAGCTAAAATCACAATAGAGAAAATATGCCATTGATCTCATTGTAAAATACGCTCGCGAATTCTTTCCTGCGAGTATTTTACCGCTTAATAATCCCCACATTAATTTTAAGCGCGCCAATTAAAATTAATGGCAAACGAAAGGAAATCAAAAATATGTAGGTAGGTGCTGCAAAATGATCGATTTAATTAAAATCCACGTGGAGGTTTTTTAAGAGTGCGTTAAATGTATTTGTTGTGTTTTAAGGTCCAAAAGAGAGGCGTACGATTTCATTAAATCTGCTTCAACGTTGGAAATTTAATTGGACAAACAACGCTCGGTCAAGTAGAAAGCCTTTGAACTTTATACACCCACATCTTCAATACAACTCGTTTTACCTCTACAAGCGCCAATTTTTTTAACTCGTTAGATCCATCAGCCTCATTACGTTGTTACCTACACAAAAGGCGTCATTTTTTATCCGTTCGCCTGTAATTTCGTTTCGCTTCTTATTTTTCAAAGAACCTTCAAAGAAATTTCGACAACAATGGATGCACGTGTATGATCGATCTCGCGACAAAAACCGGGATATTTACCTTCCATCGGGCACATCGGATCCGCCTTGTGAACTATCACGACGTCTATGTAGGAAAGCTGCAGCCTCAGCAAGCTCGCTTTTACGCTTTCGATGATGTGCTTGCGCGACAGACCTTTTTCTTCCGACCTGAAATTTTGCACATTAATAGACACACAATAGGGCACACTAACACGGCTTACAATATACTCCCGCTTCACCGAAATTTATATCCCCAGTTACCAAACATGTGGTGGATTTTGTAGATTTTGTTTGTTACAAATGGTTTCGTAACCAATCATGGTTTTGTTGCTTATTTGAATCGCGAACAAGATTGTGATGAGGTTGAAGTTTTTTTCTTAAAATGGGCCCAAGAATCACCCCTTCAGTATTAGCATATTATTAAAAAACACCCTGTATAATCGTTGGTTACAAAACCATTTGATTATACAAAACTTCGGAATACGGGCGTTATTATTAAAGTTAAATATTTTGATGAATGAGACAATATTTTTTCAAATGTCCGATCGTAGAGTAATGGCAATTTCATTTCAAATTTACTATTTAGTTATAAGTTATGTTATCAACTCCATATTATATTTTCCGAAACTCCGGTGTAATTAGTTAATGAAAGTTATTTTGCGGGTTATCTCTATAGTATTCAAATAAGATACGCCTAATAATGTTAACTTCATCACGCACGATTTAATTAGTTAAAGCGCGCAAACTTATTCTGTCCTATCTAAATATAATTGTATTGCTGAAACAATGGTTCTTGTCAACAGCCTACCTCCAGTCGGTAATGGCAAACTCAATTTCTTTGAAAGGGATACGAGAAACAGTGAATACGTTTCCTTATTAACGCAACGTTAAAGGCGAATATAAACAATTGGAATATTCGAACGAATTCGAGTGAAAGCTAGCGAGAAAATTTCATTATAAATTGAAAATGTCAAAGATTCCCGCTTTCTGATATTGGTTGGAGTACAATTTAACGAAACGTTTTTAATAAAGGTCGCTTTATTTTGCAACAAAGTGAAAAGGAAAAATTTGATTAATTGGCAGCTTCGCAAAATAAGATTAATTTTCCGTCAAATCGGAGGTGACGAGGAAAATGTGCCAGAGCTCGAAAAAATTCCCAACAACGTTTAATAAAGCCGTACAAAGATGGATGTATCGCTTGACTTGAGTTAATTAACTTTTTCGTGCGGTTGATGCTACATTTACATACCGAGTGCTCCAATAAATCTTGGTCGTGACGATGTAACTAGTGCGTTTCCAACCTTTCCTAGATAAAATTCTGCCTAGTTCAACTTCCGCTCTCGTACCTGGAAAATTAATCACCGATAACAACGGGAAATCCTTCGATTTTCAAGAGAGAATTCGAATCGATTCCGGTTGGACCATTTATAAATAACGAGGAAATCTGTTGAGTATTGGCATTTTACCCGCCACACCATTAATAATGCACGAATACCTCTCTATCTAATCTGTAACGCTCCCTATTTATTTAAATTAACAATTACTCGAAACTAGGATTAAAATAGATTCGCAAAATTTACCTGAATGAGCTTCCGATAAATCGAATACGTTAATGCCACTTTCTACAGCCAGTACTATTATTTGTTCAGCTTGCTCCTCAGTTAAATTTGGACTAAAAGTTGGCCAGGTTCCTGCAAAAAAATTAGTACAAAGTATTAGTAAAATTGTTTATCTGGAACACACCGAGAAAGGCCTTATGAAAATGACAACGAAGATGCTAAAACTGCAGCCCATAATATGAAAAAGCTTATTCTTAGAACCTTAGAATGGCTTCTAAAACGATAGAGAAGACCAGACAAGCATGGGATAAAAAACGCAATGGCGGAGGCAATTAAAATGCACGAGGAAAGAAAATGGGCTTTTTGAATGCTTCCAAAACATACACCTAAAACAAATCACTTAATGATATCACCACCCAAAAACTTGGGAAAAAATCAACATTACCGAGTGAACTGGAAGATGATTTAGTCAATTATATTCTAGAAATGAAAAAATCTGGATGTGGTCCATATTATGTTCACTTTTTGAAACTTCATAAAAATGATTTACTTTAGAAAATGTTATTTATTTCAAAGATTTTGTTTTTTTGAAGAATTTTATTATGAGTTTTTCATAACTAAATGGTTAAGGAATTGTTTAATATAAATAAAGCTGATTGAAATTTAAAATTAGACTTTTTATTGAGAAAATTGCTTATGGTGGTCCATATATGGCGCTCTTCCTCTACTATACATATATTTACGACTACAGAACCCCATGTGCCGGTGTGATGGTACTCACCTAAGCCTATGTTGGAGACCCTCAGTCCGCTCTTGCCCAGGTTTCGATACCTCAGTCCCGGCGTGACGGACGTCTGCTTGGCCAGCTGCAGCGGCACGGCGCCGGCCGGCGCCGAGTGCGTCAGGCCGCTGAGCAGCAGCTGCTCTTTCGTTATGGCCGAGTCGCCGGGTCCACCGCGGTCCGCCAAAGCGCTCAGGGCGCTGCCGGCGCTGAACTCCTCCATACAGTCCAGGCTGGCTATCGGAGCTCGACACCTGGAAGCGCAAACGTGCCATTGAATTCGCTCTACGTCCGATCCTATTGGAGCTTTTAGCTGAAGCTTTTCGGCTTGTTCGATTGCATAAGCGTGTAGGAATTTTTCTACATGATCTTGTTATCCATACTACGCTATTAAGGTGTAGGCCAAAAATTATTAGAAGAGATCATAAAGTTTATCGATAGTGATTCAAGTTTTTCTGATAACAGTAGTTTACAAATTTTACACTTTTTTAGTGCATGACATAAAATGAAGTTTTTTTTTATTTTGGCGTGCTTATTCGTTGCTTATTTGGTGTGCTAATCGTTCTAGACAGTTCAAAATGATTCTGGAGTATTTAGCAAAAACTTTTGTTGCTTGTAAACTAGCGTAATTGTTATGTATATCTTTTTTATGCATGCATTTCACTGCATTACCCTTTAACTTTTTATAATTATTGTATAGGTTTTTAAAAAGATTTTTTTTTATGATTTTTCTCACCATTTTTTTCCTTCCTAATGATTATTTTTAATGTAGATAAGTATGTAATTTATTTAACTTGTAAAAATTGACTATAATAAAATGCATTATTCCTGCAGGGACATTTCGATAATTCGCGGAAGATTCGATAAATATAAATTTCGCATCGAAAACGAAAACGGCATGGTAAAAATTTTCTATTCAAAATTGATTTATAGATTGGAAACAACTTCTCCGAATTGAAAATTCCGGAATTATTGATAAGCTTTCGCGTTTTAAGAGTTGCGGGGAAAATGTATATTTTCATCCGATACGGAGTTTCCCTGCATCCTGAAAAGAAAACTCGCCGAAGAGAAATCGTGAAAATTGCTATAAAAACGACAATTTCCTTTGCGATTAAACAGCTCCAGCGAAGAAATATTGCTTTCTTTCATTCCGTTTTCTTTCGTGATTTTTTTTCAGTTCGACAGGATTCAGAGATCGGATTTTAAGGTTATTGCCGCCGATAAAGCTGTTTTACGCAGATTTTCCTATTTTGATAATGAAAATCTTTTATACTTTTCCAAATGACGAGCTTTTAGACAACTTACGCTCGCACGAAGAGAATCATTTATTACGCGCAATTCGATGGAATTTCGAATCGAGTTAATTTATTTAACTGAATTACGAGTATCTTATTGCACCGCACTTTTAGTAGGTACCTCAAGTTTTTAACTACCACTTTCGGGCGAATTTATTATTTAAACTCGTTAACTTTATGTAATGATTTGCGTTCATTACTCCATATATTTCAATTTTACGATGCCCGGGAGACCAGCAAAGAGTAGATACTTATTTAATTCGAGTACCAAATAATTGCGCCCCTTAGCAATTCCAATTCCTATATACAGGGTTGGGCAAAAGTCCGGAATAAAATTATTATCTGTTAAACCAGTAATTTAAACAAAAAACGCTGAAACACGTAAATTGATTTTATATTGGACGGATTTGTTGCCAATAAAATGATTTTTTTTTCTTCAACCCCTTAGTTGCAACCCTACCGAACTTTATTTTTTTCAAATGCAAAGGTATGTCGTGTGTAGGGTCATTGAAAAGCCCGTGAAAAATGGAATCTAAAACATACCTTTTTTTTTATTTTTCTCATGTTGTTATTTGGAAATGAGCAAAAAATTCTTTTAAAAACAAATATGTTACAAATACTTTTTTAGTGGTATCGACGTGTGAATTAAGGCTTACTCTACTTAACAGGCTCCAAGGCAATGGTAAAACCTAATATCGGTAGCCTATCTTTAATTCTGAATGAACTTTTATTAAAAGCAGGCGAGCCTGGTCAGGCAGCACACCAAATTTTATTGATTTACCGTTTAAAACTGATAAGGCAATTTAGCATCAACATTCGTTGAAATTTATGTTTTAAGAAAAAACAAAAACATAAAATGGGTTTAAATCTAAGCCATTGTTGATCAGTGAACTTCAAAAAGGAAAACAGGTGTTGCATTTTTGTACAAGTTTTTTTTATTAAAGGTTCGCCTGTTTTTATTAAAAAGTCATCAGAATATGCTATCGATATTACGTTTTACCAATGCCTGGGAGCCTGTCAAATAGATGGTGAAGGGCATTTTCAACATTGCTACGTCGATAGCACTAAAAAGGTATTTGTAACTTTTTTGTTTTTAAAAGAAATTTTTGCTCATTTCCAAATAACAACATGAGAAAAATAAAAAAAAGGTATGTTTTAGATTCCATTTTTCACGGGCTTTTCAATGACCCTACACACGACATACCTTTGTATTTAAAAAAATAAAGTTGGGTAGGGTTGCAACTAAGGGGTTGAAGAAAAAAAAAATCATTTTATTGGCAACAAATCCGTACAATATAAAATCAATTTACGTGTTTCGGCGTTTTTTGTTTAAATTACTGGTTCAAAAGATAATAATTTTATTCCGGACTTTTGCCCAACTCTGTATTATTTTTCTTTTATTAGATATTTGTCGGGTTAAACCAGCCTTTATTAATGGCTTCTGAAATAATGGACTTAAAGGTCCTGATCTTAACTTCTACTACAAATAAAAGAATATTCATTACATGATGTTCAAAAATTTAAATACTATTAAAAATGGAATGAGCACCCTGTATATTAATTGGTCACTTAAATGGCCCACCCTGTAGATCAAGGCAGGAGCTCATTTGTTTTCTAACACCACATAGGCACAGCCATAATTATTTTCCATACTTCACCTGGCGCCTTTCTTAATTAAAATCGTGTAAAATTTATCCGGGTTACACCGAGCAAAATACCGCTAACCCCCTTCCCGCCCCTTGCTTGAGCTCGGATGGCTCTAATTACTTCTAATAGAAATTTAAACAGCTCGAGTCGAGTCTAATCATCAAATAGAGCGAGAAATTAATACCGTAATTATGGATTAAATAACTGAAATTTCTAAGTAAAAGTACTTATTCGCACCTACGAGGTAAACCTTTCAAGAGTTTCAAGAGTAAACGGAGTCATGTAACCGTTAAAGCAGTAAAAGATACCTATTAATGCGAGAAATATTAAATTTTAATAGAAACATCATTCACTTACAGTTCAATTAGCACACGATGTACGACAAACCAATTAAAACTGCGTTTGTAGATTCAACTCAGACTGTTATTTATTTGAAATATTCGGAATAATCGCAGTTTATCTCGCCGATATTTTCATACACGGTGAGTGTTGACATCAAACACGAACGACAGCACTGAGAGGCACTCAGAACATCAAGAGCAAACGCGTTGCAGGAATAAATCGAGCGAGATACATACATTTTCTTTGATATTTAAACGCAAAATTTTATTGGGCGAACTCCACTATTTATTTTCATTTCTGCATAATATATTCGAGGAGAGAGTGTAGCTATATTTGCCTTGTTACCAGTAGATTCTGTGGTAACTCAGCGAGTGCATTTTGATTGCATCGATGCATTTTTGCATTATACGCCTTATGATTCTGTGAACACTCGTAAACGGCGCTTAATTCTAAATAAAAGGTTCTGTTTTGGGTGTATTTATTTTGGTTCGTGTAATTTATGCTACCCAAATATTTGGTATAGTTGATGGTAAAACCGTAAATTTCGTCCGAAGCTAATGAAAACATGAAAACAACGCTTGACAAATCGAGAGGGAGATTTTCGTGTGGGGTAAAAAGAAAATGAACAGGGATTATTTATTGCATCAATTTCATTTGTACCGAGGGAAATATGAAATTGGGGTTGGTATGCCAAAAGTTTTTGAAATGATAATTCCGATCAAGCTTTTTTGCGATGAAGACCAAAGTTAAGTGTTGCATAAGAACCAGACAAAAATATTTATCACAAACAATACGAGGGTAAGGTATGTATACAGTACTAGGCTTCAATGAAAGAAGTTGAACTTTATTTGAAGAAAAATGCTACCAAACTATACTTTTTCGGATGTGATTAGCAATAAATTGAATATTGTAAGAAAATTTAGAAAATATCGTCGGCGTATTTTTTAGCAAATCCCAAAAAACACTAAAAATCCCGAATTTTCGAAAACGGGACCGGAACGAAAATCCGGTTTTTCACCCGGAAGGAAACTTTTCCGTCTTTCTAAAAGTTGATTTTCCGATAGATCTCGTCGAGTTACGTAGAAGTACCATAAGGCTCATTTTGAAAGCTATTTACAACAATAACAAAAAATTCCTTGGGTTGAGGATTCAAAAATTATTAAGGAATCTAACAAACGATTGAAGACTGTCAAATTCGATAACAAGCAACAAAATAAATAAGTAAAATTAACTTTTCATTCTTGAAGGGGTGCTTTGATATCATTGGCATTTCTAAATCTATTTATAGACGGGCGAATTTCAGGGGTGCCTTAAAAGGCGCTTTTCCAGCGTTTCCGCAAGTTAAATGTAGGTACTTTATTGCTAAAATCACATCGATATTTTACTATAGGCGATTTAACGCGCCTAATTCTTATTCAGGAACTCCAATAGGTATTCATAAATCTAGTTCAACATTATGTTTTCAATATAACGCTTTCAATATTTCTACACGAGTTAATACACAAGTATATTACGTTTAATGTCCCAAAAATGTTACATACGCGGTTAATTTTTACCTTCCATCAAGCTGACATTACCACACGAAAATTATATTAATGTTCATACGAATTTAGAGTGATTAGTATATCGTATTCAACCGTATTTTTTTAATATTTCCAAACATGCCGAGGAGAAAAGCAATCTAGAAAATTGCTTTTTTTCAGGTTTTAATCGTCGAAAACTTTTAATCTTGGAAGCACTGCATCATTTTCATCCCACTGATCTCGGTAATCTAGTTAAAACCAACAGATGAATTTCGAATTCATAAAGTCGAGTAGAAGCCCGACTCGAACCTCTTTTCACAATGGGAACGTCTTCTTTCGATAAACAATGTCCTTGCCTTGAGGAAAAATAGGTTTGATGGAAAAGAAAACCTCTATGCCGAGGTTAATAATTCAGTGCTTTTTACAAAGGAAATATTTACCTAATTC